TGGGTGGCCAGCACCACGCCCGACCGTCTTTGTCTCCCCAATGGCGATGTTTACACATCGGGCACTTATTTGAGGTTGAGTCGACCTAGGGGAGGCCCAAGACCGGTTCAGATAATCGCCACTGGTGTTCGTGAGCGGGAATCGAACTCAGATTCCAAGATTCGTAACAGCGTGCTAACCACTACACTACCGTTCCGTACACACACACACTCTCAAACATAGCCAGTGGGAATGTGTAGGGGTAATGGTGATTGCATCAAGGGCGTACACTATAACACACTAACTGCCATGCACCCAAAAGGAAATCTCTCAGTGTGGCAAGGGACCGCAGGGGGTGGCCCCAGAGGTTATTAGCAGCAGAGTAGGATATGAGCTCTCTAAGCCCTCTAAAGCAACCGTCAAGTGCTCCCACAGCCCCACACGACTACAGGCTGCCGACATTACGCAGCGCTCTGAATTCAGTCCACTTCAGTGCATCAAACAACACTGGCACGTTGAGTACTTAAAGATGACTTGCAGTGGTAAAAATGTGTGTGCGACTTTATTTTGGGAGTGCATCTCTTCGTAAAAAAATCTTTCCGACCAACAAGTAACGATTCTGGCACAATAAGATGGGGCCGCTATACGATTGGTGGGATGGGGGGCACACATATAAACACCCTCAAGAGCAACCCTGACAACAGCTGTGGTATCTGTCATAGTAAATTAAGTTCATGGAAAGGTTTGACGATGCCATCAACGTCGCGGACCACGATGACTTAGGGGGGTACGGAGCTCTCGAAATCGAAACTGTATTCGTCACTTATAGATGTTGCAGATTAATTGAGCAGTGGCACAGCTTCAGAGTGAGCGTTTTGCAAGAGTAAGGTTGGCAGCCCATAATCTCTCCAGGTGTGATGAAATGAGCAGCACTCTGTGAGGGGGACGTTCTTTGTGTAATGAACGACTTCTCACTCTACAGGCATAATCACTGGGCAACAATGTACATACACGGCTACGCATAGAGCTGATCCATCTACACAGCCCCATCGTCGGCGTCTAATTATTTATCTGGCTGACTAATACAGCGACGACGATGGGATCCGTGCAGAGGATCGGCCACGAGGCTGGACGATGAAGAGAGATGACGGCGAGACAGGGACGGCAGCCAAGACCCGGAACCCCACGACACCCCCAAACCCTCGGTCACGTCCCTCTTATATACTTCCCGGCGTGACATGGCCCCGCCTCCTGCCCCGCCTCCGGCCACGCCCACTTCTAGAACCTTCGAGCAGGTTCCCGGAGCTTCCCGACTGACCCCACCTTTTACCTTTAACCCAGTTACGCCCCTCCTGGTCAACAGATTGACATTACATTTGTAAAGACCCACCCCGGTTGATGGGAATGTAGAATTCTCACCACTGGCTCAGGGCTGTAAACAGGAAACGAGGACTGTCGCAATGCCCATTTGAGTAGCCAATCACTCAATTGCGCAGTGTTGTAGAGAAACAGCAGAGTGGTAAGATACTCAAAGAGTGTATTTAGGAGACATGAAAATGGTTCCTAAGCATCAAGTTTAAGTCAAGTTTATTTTCTTTAACCAGGTGAGAAATAAAGAGACCAGGATAGTAAAATTTGCAAGTGACCTGGAGCACTAGTCTGCCAGTAGGGGGCGATGATTATTGTGTTTAATTCCACATATTTAAACCCTGATGCCAGCACACAATGGCCAACTTTTGCGAATTACGTTTGGGGATCTTTAACGTCCACTGTGAGTGAAGCAGATGGCGAGTAGTATTATAATGGTTAATACACACCACAGTATTAACCAGGGAGGCTGCTGGATTGGAACTGTGAACCTCTGCAACAAGCGGAAGGACGCGCTACTGCTCAGCCACGTCACCACGAGCATAGCAAGATATACTGCCACATTAAGTCATTTTATAGATGCCAGAAGGACACACACAGATCTAACCCGGAAAAGAGTGCAAAAGAAGAAATGTAAATGACTGGCGATCTCTTTGCATTTTATAGTGCTGTGTAGTTGAAGGCACAAGTGAATGAATACTCTCATAACGTTTAGTGTGAAAACGGACAAAGGGCGTAATAGCACGGAGGTATGCCATATATGTATTATGATGTTGAAAGAGAGGGAGTGCCATGGAGATCATTATCGTCAATAGTCAAGTTCAACCACAGTTCTGGAAGCTGTGCTAAAGTGCATGTATATAATAAAACATTTTAAACACGCTGTAATATGAATTGTAGTACAATTATAATCAGCTAGGATAGCGGCGATGAAGAGATGGTCCTCCCACATAATCGCCATCCTTCATGGTCTTGGGGCACCGTAATCCATCTCGCTACTGCACATGAGCTAATCTGATCCCTCCATCTCGATTGTGGTCGCATTCTCGTGCAAGTTCTCTCTTTTGATTGCCATTCTGTCACATCCTCTATCAGCCATCTTCCCTTCTATATCCTTCCCAAGCCCACTTAATTTTCTTAACAGTCAATATGAGTCTTCTTGGTTCTTTCGGTAAAGTCACGTAGAAGGGAAGTAAATAAAACAATTCTCACGACGTTTCGGCCACAACGCAAGCAGCCGTCCTCAGGTGAAAACCAGGTCCGTCGAGGCGACAGAGTCTGAATGAAACAGCACACGAGCTTGGAGCATAAATGCAGGAATGTGATTAGCTTGTTGAAGGATCTCAAAGTTATGTGGAAACCCTCCCCGTAGAGGCGGTTAAATTTCGATTTAAAGCTTTCGTGACTGCAGGGATTCATCTTCTTGGTTCTTTCGGTAAAGTCACGTAGAAGGGAAGTAAATAAAACAATTCTCACGACGTTTCGGCCACAACGCAAGCAGCCGTCCTCAGGTGAAAACCAGGTCCGTCGAGGCGACAGAGTCTGAATGAAACAGCACACGAGCTTGGAGCATAAATGCAGGAATGTGATTAGCTTGTTGAAGGATCTCAAAGTTATGTGGAAACCCTCCCCGTAGAGGCGGTTAAATTTCGATTTAAAGCTTTCGTGTCAATATGAGGTATCCAATTAGCGTAAGTTATTTGATCAACATTTATCTGTCTTTCATTGTAAATCCCGGAATTCATCTCTTCACGATTCTTCGTGTATCAGTTATTTTTCGCATGGCATGCCCTTACACTTATCCAGCTGACGCAGAGCCAAGTAGAATCAGAAGCTACTGGGGGCCAAGGGAACTGTGGTTTATGTACCGCAATCACGAGGAATTTCGACTAAAATCACGCTGGTCAGTGCGGGTTGAGAACGCACAATGACTATGCAATAGCCCCCCAATTGCAGTTTACTCGTGGTAACGATTGAAATAATTATCACAACACAGCACCACATCGTATATATGACCTACTACTGATTCTAATTGTAATACAATACTATTCGAATTGCTACTCCTGATAGGAACGGTTACGCAATTTACTAGATGTTCTTCTACAGATTGCAATTTAAAGTTCTGGAAGCTAGTAATATGGATTACGTTGCTGCCTGATGTACATTACTGCTCAATCATGATAGTTTAAATCCACGTAAACTGCAATTATTTAATTATCAGACTTCGTTAATCCACTGCTGGATGAAGGCATCCCCAAGTCGTTTCGTCCTCTGACGATCATCCTTTGTGATAATCCTCTTCCCACCTGCATACAAACTAATTTGATCACTCCATTTCCCCGATGGACGTCCACTTCGACGCATTCCATACTTTGGCTGCCACTAGACGTCATTATTCCTGACCATTTGCCATCATCCCTTCTAACCATGACGCGTCCTAAACCCACTTAGTTTTTTTTAACACAGTTCAGTAGTTTTAAATTGGAAATCAATGATTAGCATGGGCTTCTCTTTCTGTCCCTCGGTGTTTGGTTATTTATTACATTTATTTTTAAGCAAAGCACGCACCTTTCCTTGCCTCGGGACAACACCATCTTCTGGGTTTCTAGGTAGAAGTTGAATAGCTCAGAATGTCGTAATTGGTGCTAAAAGAGAAACACTTGAGGTTGTTTATTGTTGCACTTACACAACACAGCTGAAAATAACTCTGGAAGATACTATTTACGATTTAAGCCAACTATATGCCAATGTTATGTTTAATAAAAACATACATGAAGATAATATAACTCCAATACAATATACATCGGCCAAATAATATGACCTTGAATCGAATCTCAACATGCAGTCGATATTATAGTAGCAGAAGGAAATACCCACCCCCATGCTGTATTAAACGGTGTTAAGACAACTGCGTCACCTCGCAACAAGCAATAAGGAGACGTTGTGGCTTTTAGGGGTCTCGGGAGTGAATGCTGACGTGGTCATTCACTCAGGGAAACTCTGCACTTGTAGGGCGCGGCGCGTGGTTAAACACGAGGTAGAGGGTAGAGTGGGTTCACGGTGGTGACCCCATGGCGTGAGTAATACAGTGGGTTCACCATGGCGTGAGCAATACAGTGGGTTCACTGTGCTGTGACCCCATGGCGTGACGAATTGAGTGGGTTCACTGTGCTGACCCCATGGCGTGACCTATAGACTGGGGTTCACGGTGGTGACATCATGGCGTGAGCAATACAGTGGGTTCGCGGTGGTGACCCCATGGCGTGACCAATATAGTAGGCTCACGGTGGTGACCCCATGGCGTGACCAATATAGTAGGTTCACGGTGGTGACCCCATGGCGTGAGCAATAGACTGGGGTTCACGGTGGTGACCCCATGGCGTGAGCAATAGACTGGGGTTCACGGTGGTGACCCCACGGTGTGACCCGTGGCGGACTGTGGTGACAGACCCCATGGCGTGATCCTAAATCGCTTCACCGTGCTGATACCGCGTGGTAGACTGGGTTTGACCCCCCCCCCCCACCGGAGTGACCTCGTGCCAATGCCGCCTGACCCAACACACACGCACACAAAACATTAACCGGCCACGGTCTACCACGTGTGCGGCGGACGTGACGCACCACGCCCTTATATGGACTTCCGGGGGTGTGCGGGTCACGCGCGGACGGGCGACCGCTCGACCGGCGATAACCGTTCCAAGAAGACGCGACCACCACCACGACCAGAGTGAGAGAGAGAAGAAGAACAACAACACCGAGGTGACTGAAGGATCACGCGGAGGAGGAGAGCCCTCGAGGCCGGCGTCGAGGAGGAGGAGGAGGGAGTGAATAGGAGGAGGAGGAGCTAGCGGCGGCGGCGGCGGCGGCGTGGGAGCGTGCGCACCGGGGCCGGGCTGAGTGCAAAATCGGTGCGCACGGCCCCAACGCGATCGCCGCCCCGCCCGGAACCTCATTGGCAGTAGCAGCGGCGGCAGCGGCAACAACAGCAGCAGCGACACAAGAAGCATAAGAAGAATTAAAGCAAACAAAGGACGCCGTGACCCGGTTACGTGTTCGTCGGCATCTTTGTGTGTCTTGCTTGAGCCTCGTTTTGGAGGCGGCGGCGTCACTCGTCTGTCGCTTCGGTCGAGCCGCGGCGAGGTCGGCAACAAAGGAACGCCTGGAGCAAGTTTCCTCGATCGCTATTCATCGTCGTCCGTCCGTCCCTCTTCATCTGGGTGACTTGGCTCAGCACGGCGGAGTTGTCCGTCGGCACGAACCGCTCGATTAGCGAAGAACAGGAAGCGGCGGCGGCGGCAACAACGAACGAAACCTTCGTCCTCTTCCTCCACTGCCTTCATTCGTCTCCATCGTCTCGTGTGCTCCTCCAACCGATCCGATCGTCGTCCATTCCATCGGTGAAGCACGAAGACCAAGGAGGGGGCAACCATGAATCCGAACCGAGCTCGCCTGATGTGCATGCTGGCGCTCACCATCGCCTTCTTCTTCGTGGAGCTGGTGGTGAGTCGCATCACCGAGTCGCTCGCCATGCTGTCCGACTCGTTCCACATGCTGTCGGACGTGATCGCACTCTGCGTGGCCCTGGTGGCCGTCAAGTTCGCCGAGCGAACCGAGTCCACGAGCAAGAACACGTTCGGATGGATCCGCGCCGAGGTGATGGGCGCCCTGGTAAATGCGGTCTTCCTCACGGCGCTTTGCTTTACCATCGTGCTGGAGGCCATCGAACGCTTCACCGAGCCACGCCGCGTCGATCAGCCCCTGCTCGTTCTGGGCGTGGGTCTCGGTGGCCTCCTCATAAACCTCATCGGGTTGTGCATCTTTCGTGGCCACAGTCACGGACACGGACACAGTCACGGTGGGCACGGACACGGGCACGGGCACGGCAAGAGCAATGGCTGGAAGAAGAACTCGAGCGAGGAGCGTGCCAACCCCGGGGAGACGTCGCAGTTCATCCAGTCCGTGGGTGCCGCCGAGCAGGCGACGCGCATCGTCCCCGACAAAGACGCCATGGGGGGTACGGAGTCCACCACCACCACCAGCACCCACCGTTACACTTTCACACCACGCACGCATTCATTCATTCATGCCTTGTCGGATTGTTGTCGTGTTTACCATGCCAGACTGTCACCGTGTCGCGTCGTGACGATACCGTACTGTTACCATGGTATGTGCCGTGTCACCATGTTACACGTCACCATGTTACCCCTGGCCACGCTGTTGGCAATTCATCTTGTCAGCCTGTTCCCTATGACGGGGTACCCCTCAACCCCGTCACGTTGTTACCACGCCACCGCTTTCAGACATTTAGACAATCAACTTGCCACCCTGTTAACCTTGTCGTTACCCAGTTATCATGTCACGCTGCTTCATCTCGTGGTGTTTACCCGCATGCCGTTCGTGACGTGGCCTAGTGGCCGTTCAAAACCATTAACGACAAACAGCCATGCTCGTATTAGACTTGATCCAAGTCATATCCGTAACATCGACTGCATATTCAGCTTTAACCAGTCTCATCCTCTCACCCTAGCTCAAACCAGGAGCAATCCAAATTGCAACCTTACCCTAGCGCCTATTTCTGATTATGAATCGATGCCCAGGTTACAAAAAGTGGCACCGAATGCCAGCCAATCAAAGTTGAATGGGGCTCCAAGCAGTCCGTGCTTTCACGTCAATGCGCTCGCAGTAACCGTTAGGCTGTTCAATATTCACACAGCAGCAGGAAACAAGAGGCCTCTCTTGTGCCGACCCCCCCCACACACACATTTACGATTTGAAAATATAACGACGAGGTGAGGATTGGTTCGAGCGTCTAGATGGTGGTGGTGTGTGAGATCCATGAGGTGGCCGGCCATGACCCAGAAAGTGATTGGGCTTTATTGACAGCGTGGCGTACAGTCTCCTTGCATCTTCTGATTTTTAATGTGTTGCCGTTGAGCTGTGGTGCTTTTGAGAAGTGAGCTCAACATCCCTGTGTCGCTTTGACACCCGGATGTGTGGCGACTTCCTGTCGAGTACTGTATGCTCTAAATGCTCCATTGCTTTGAGGTTGTTCCAAACATTTCATGAGAGGATGTCGCTTGGCCATTATTAAGTGACCGTTTCTGATAATTGTTCCACATGTCTCGTGGTCTTGGCATAATGGTACATGACCTTAACAAACAAGCTGTGCCGTGGTCCCGGGTTTTTCCCATTAAAATCTTTTAGGATAATACATGTAGATGGAACATCCATTTGCAAGGTATTGCGGGGGTGTCAATTGACACGGCTCATACAAACATTTATGAAAGTAATTGAAATATTCTATTTCAATTAAGAATATTTTAGAATTAATAATTGAGTTAAAAGTAAGCTGCTGGTCTTTGAATTATTTATTTTCATGATGTTTACACATCGCATTTCTAATATATGCTAAGTTTGGATTTCATTTTAAACATACTTTATGCACAGCAAATTTAATATAAAATGTTTGTCCTCACAATCATAGCTTTTTCCAAAAATAGAACACATTTCTAAGAGTGCTATTGTATGTCGCATATAATGCCACATCGAGTGTGGTGACCTATTTAGTGACTACAGAGAGGTATGATGAATGCCGGTGTTAACATTTCTCTAATTTTCTTGTTCAGATGTCAAGTTGGCGTGCTCGGAACCTTTGCCACATGTCAACGGCAACCTGCAGAATGGCGATATGGCGACCGTTCTGGATCTGGAGATGGCAGAGGAGTCTGCTTCCCAGATGAATATGCGTGGTGTGTTCCTGCACGTACTGGGTGATGCCCTCGGCTCTGTGGTGGTCGTGGTCAATGCAATTTTGTATCACTTTTTCCAGGATACCTGCGCTTCTGGCGAAGAAAGATCCTGTTGGGTCTATTACTTAGACCCCAGCTTATGTTTGGTGATTGTTTTCATTCTTTTGGGCACCACATTCCCCCTGCTGCGCGAGTCGGCACTGATCCTTTTGCAGACGGTGCCCAAGCACATCGATGTGCGGGTGTTGACGGAGCGACTGCGCAAGATCGAAGGCGTGCTAGCGGTGCACGAACTGCATGTGTGGCAGCTTGCGGGAAGCCGCATCATCGCTACGGCGCACATTAAGTGCCAGGGCCCGGCCTCCTACATGGAGACTGCAAAGCTTATTAAAGCTTTCTTTCACAATGAAGGCATTCATGCCACCACTGTGCAGCCCGAGTTTGCAGATGATGGCCTCTCAGGTTCGCGTATGGCTCTCTGCGACCTATCCTGCCAAACGCAGTGCGCGCCTAAGCTTTGCTGTTCTACCGGTAAAGTGATGGCTGGTGACTGGAACGGACAGCAGCAGTCTGGACCTGGAAACGGCAACAACCTCGAGACTATCCGAGAGACACCAGAGCCCAACCGGGATTCACCTGCGCACTGTGAACTGAAGGAGGGAGACGAAATCAGCATTGACATCAAACCTGCCTCTGTGGAGGATAAAGTGGGAACAGAGAGCGAAAGCCAGATGTAACGTGTATATTTGGAAAGTCACTTTTATCCATTGGTTATGTGAACGTATGTACAGGTTCATGATGAAGAGTAGGCTTAACTTTGCATTGTACCAATTCATTAACAATACAATTGGTAAGGTTATTGACAGTAGATCAGCAGAGCACATATTTATAAAGTTTTCCTTTGGATAATTTGTATGAATGCAGAACTCATTCGACGATGCCAAGTTTAGCCTATTTCAAGGTTTTTTTCATGCCGTTGTGAACGCTGTGGGATTTGAGTGGTAAAGTGGGTGGCACTTCATCAGAAATGGGAGACGCAGCTCCACTGTGACAGAATGGTCACTACTGTGCACAAAGGAATTGTGATGTGTTTTGTCATACTTCAACTTAACTACATCTTGTATCCATTTGTGGATCTCCAAACATCACTCAATGCAATTAGAGTACTTGTAATTTAAGTATATATTGCCTTTGTATTTAGATTTTTTTGTTTCATTGTTACAGTTTCACTAGTTTTGTGAATACTTGACTAATAACATTTGAATGCCATCGTTTGGGTTATTGCTCTCTTTATTACCAGCAGTGCACAGTAACATTTCAAGAATGTTTCTGTTCACATTGGCTTTTTTAGTGTGGATCATCAGTTGCATAACACCACGGCAAATGGTCACAGTATTACGCGCTGTGACGGTTGATTCATTTTTAAGAACAGAAACTTACATTGTGCCATGCTGTTTGTCTTTGAACAGTAGTAGCATAAAGTACAATCCGTTTTCTACCAAGTTTAGCTTATGCTTGCAGTGGTGTGGCAGAGGCCTCTTGCCAGTAGTGATTAATATTGCTTTAGAGGCTTCTTGCACTCTTGGTGCTTTTGCAAGCTTGACCGTGCATGCAGCTTTTAGGACTATGAACCAGGTACTCTCCTGAGCAAAAATTTGATTTTGGAAATAACATGAAGTCAATTATAGCAATGGAAACTGGATATTTGCCTCCGATTTTTATACGTAAAAAAATAGTTAATGACATTACCTTTTGCCCAAAAAAGAGTTAATTTTGCATAAGCAAAAGTAGACGTGTTTCTGATAAATGGTGATTATGCCATGTGTCGGTCATTTTTTTATTGACTAAAGTGGGGGAACCACCATTTTGAGAGAATTTTGTTTCCCTCAGTCTATCCAACAATTGTAAACTTAAAGATAGTATTAAAAACATACCATTGTTGTGTACTTGCTCTTTTACTTGAATTTTCACTTAAGAAATTTGTGTTTGGATTCTTATTCATTAAACATTTAACTTTGATATTTGTACCGATTACATTGTTCAGCTAATCGGATTTTAAAGGAGTTTACTTAATGTTGACTTAAATATAGGCCAAACAATGTTTTTTTTGCTTACAGTGATTATATTTCCATAACGCTATTTATTTGGCCTATTCCGTGATTGGTTTGTGTTACTCGGTTACCCATTAAATGACGTTTAAAGAAATTAAAGCATTATTTGAGCTCGTTTGCCTTTTTCTCCCATTGAAACTGGACGAATGGCACTTGCCACATTTCCACTTATGAATGCATGCTAATTGCGAGGTAGAGAATAAAAAAAACATCTACCCTTTAAATTAATAATAATTACAGCTTATATAGCACATTGCATAAAATCTCAAGTAATGGACTAATCAGTACAACGGCCCAGGTCCACTGATGTCAACATTTGAATGTGATTACAGAGGAGGCCTTATTTGCCTCGTTCACATAAAAATGTATATTTTGTGAGTGGTGAAATAAATGTGTCTAAATATGCAAAAGCAAAGTTTTACAAAAAGGGGAGATTTCCTGTGGATTTCACTGCAAACACATCTGAGTGAATAGTCATAAAAGCTGGACTTCGGTTTTACTATAAAAAAAATCACATTTGCCCTCATTTACGAGTGGCAGCTATATTGTGTATTTGAATAATTTGTATTTCTTAGTATTTTGCGTGGTTGGGTGAAAATTTACTATTCAGTGTTCTGATTGTTGTGTATGTTATGCAAATTTTTTAAACGGCATTGTTTTATTTGTCTACACTACTTTAGCTGTTTGTAGCTGGTTCTTGAATTATATTTTTGTGTATAGCTCTTTTTCCATTTCTAAAAACAATCGCTATAACCTTGTCTTTTTAGATTCATACCTCATTAAAGTGCGCTTTAAAATTACCACTTGTAATTTCATGCTGTTTTATCATTTCGTGCCATTCAGCACACCATCTGCAACAGCTCAGGCTGATTTAGAAGATGCATGGTTTGTATCGTTACCTAATACTATGGTGGCTAATCCAAAATAAAAATTATAGACATGTATTGAGGTATTTGAAAATTAAAAAGCCTGTAAATACTGTACAATGTGCAACTAGACTCCACCCTAAAATGATTGCGTTTTTGTATTCTCAAAAGTGACTAGCAAACCTTAGGCTGTACATTCATTATTCGATCTTACAAGGTCCAGATTAGGCCGAATGCCGCACTACCACAAAAGCATGCAGCAGTGTATTTTCAAATCAACACAAGTGTAGCTATTTAAAAAAAAAAAACCTGCCAATTCTTTACTCCATATTTGATCATGCTTCCATTTGTTAAAGTTTAATTACCCAACAGTATGTGCTCTCATGAAATTAACCATTAACAGGTATATTTGCTGATTACGTGAACTGGTGACAATCAAAAACTGGCAATTTTACAGCATGCCAGGGCTGGATTTCCCAATGCATTGTGCATACTTTATTAGATGTACAGTAATTAATACATTTTCCTGCATAATTGACCAGATGATTTATGCTTTTAGCCTGTTAGGTAGGCCAATGTATTGGCTGAAGTTTACTTTAAAATTTGCATCTTAAAAGGTTACTTTTCCTGTGCAAACATCCAGTTTATAATTGAGCACCTTACACGAAAACTCCACACATACTGTATATTAACGTATTGATCTGGGAAATAAGGGGCAAACGTATTTTGAAACATCTATCTTGGGGAAACAAGTTACGTCGCGCACATAGATCGCATGAATAAAGTGATTCCCATGTACAACGTTGACGGAGCTGTAACATAACTATCAATTTAAATTCCCTGTAATTTTCAATTACTTTTTCTTGGTATGATTTAGATGCGGCACAGCAATGCAATCATTAAATAGTTTACAATGACTGGATGTGGTTTTGTCATCCCAACTTTTAACTAGAAAACCATATTGACACTTTTGAGAAATGTTTGACACCAAGTAACCCCCTATTCCGTGAGAGCATCATGTTCTTCGTTATTGTTCTGGGACAGTACTCAAATGTGTTATCTGCTGAAGCATGTGATAGTGTCGTATGCCAAGGGTCATTATTGCGCATCTTCGAGCTTATGACCGCGTGCGTTGCCTGGCCAACAATCGTCCTTTTTTCTTTCACACACTTGCCATTGTGGGAGAACCAATGCCTTCACATTGACATCTCTAGCACCGTATGTGCTTGTTTCACTTGAATAGAGTGCTTGTGTGTTTTATTTCCATTAATTTAACGCCTAGAATAAAAAAACCAGAAGAAACAATGACATGCACTCTTATTAATAATGTTCACATTCACAGTGAACGTTTTTTTAAAAATTGTTTTGGAAAAATAAACTTAAGCACAAATGGAGAACATATTAATAATCCGAATTGTCATTTTTACAGTGAATGGATATACAATACAGAAATTACTGTGAACTTGCAAAGTTGGGATGAAGATAAATACAGTTTCAGCAAAACAAGTCATACATAACATGATTGCTAAACAAACAAAAAGATGGAATGCTTCGAACAAACTGCAGTTAAAAGATAGTTTTCGATTCTTGCATATTATCTGCTATGACATAGGTAGACACATAGACGAAGAAATTGGAATAAAGGTGGAAGCATGGCAGGATGTATTCTAGGAATTAGAGACAAAACTGGGGACACGTGGACGAGAGAACATGCGTTTTCGTGACAATACTTTAAGAAACGTCGGCTTGGGCAAAACATTTGCTGGAAGGGATGATGGACGAGTTGACGGAATATCAGCCAAAGCTAAGAACACGAAAGAGAGAATGACCACCTTAGAGGTGGTGTGATGGGATAATCTTATGTGCAGGCGCTATATGATTTGTGGCATCGCAAGACAGTGAGGATGGTTACAGTGATGATTTAAAAGAGACTTGTACAGCTGTTGCCTGATCATGGCTGATAATGATGCTTTAAAAAACGTGGTTTTTTTTACATCTTATATTTTGCAAAGATGAATGGAGATGCTCGGTTGATAGGTTGTTAGACATGTGATAAAGTAATGGTTAAAAAGGAGTCACACAAGCCATTGTTTCCCAACAACTAATTTTCTGCAACTTAAATCATGAGGAACAAAACAAAAACGCAACGCATTCGTCAATAATTGCTTTAGAAGGAAAAATATATAAAAGGTGACGTTTTGAGCAATGGCCCTTTTACATTGCACAAACAGAGGCCAGGGAAATAGAGTGGATAAGAGTTGGAGACTGCACTTTTAAAAATGCTTTTTAATTAACAGTTTTTACATTGGCATATGAACAGTTACATATTAGTGGCTATTGAGCAACAGAAACATCCTTCAATAATCACAAATGTATGGCTAACAGTTAAAATGTAAGTTTTAGCAGATCCCACCATGTAAAGTGCAGTTTCCAACTAATCCACTATCTCGAGCTTATGTTTACGTGCTACGAAGAAGGGTCAGAGCCTGAAGCACCGCCTATTATATATTTAAATTTAAGGCAGTGTCATCGAATAATGTGTTGAGTTTCTTATTTAAGCAGCACCGTAATTTCAGTATCACTAAACATTGTGTAATGCGGGCGTAAACGACCTTCCGGATGTGACGTCATGAGGGGAGGAGTTACGTCACGTGGGGGAGAGGGGTCAGGTCTATAGGGAGAGAAACCGGAAGAGGAGGGGGAGTGATTGGAGACTAGGAACGAGTGAGGCCACGTAGGGCGGGAGTGGGAGAGTGGCGAGATAGCCACATACACGGGGAACGAGGTTCGGCACCGTCGGCCAACGGTGACCGACCCCGGAGCAGCAGGAGCAGCGAGGAGGCTGCAGGTGGCAGCGGGGGTCTGCACACGGAGTTGGCAGCGGGGGTCTGCACACGGAGTTGGCAGCGGGAGTCTGCACACGGAGTTAGCAGCGGGTCTGCAAGGAGAGGAAGGAGGCTACAATAGTGACAGCAGCCTGGGGCTGCAAGCAGAGGGTCTCTAAGGGAGTGCCGTGAGGGAAAAGACAAGAACCCAAATAAAGGACACGGAGTCAGAGAGAAGCGTCCGAGTCTTTTATTACAATTGTATAAGGAATAATAACCATAACGCTAATTAAAAATGTATACAATGCTCTCATACATACAATGAATTATTAAATATATGAGTGACGAGCCCGAAGGGTTGAATCTGAAATAATGTATACATGTAGTGACGTTAAGGGTGTCACTATGGTGGTAGCGCCAAGCACTGTCATACAGTGCTACTGTGCGTCCGGAACCTTTTTCTGGGGCCAGAGTGAGTATGGTATGCGAACAGGCCTTAGGGGGCATAGTCCTGGTGGTGGCCTGAGAGAGGGCAAGTCAGGACATGGTCGTCTGGGTGACCGTGATAGGGTAGTGAGGGGGGCCCGAGGGGGGCTTGAGGGACACGTGACATTCCGTCGAGATCCTTCAGGAAAGGTCTCGAAGGGGGCGTGGCCGAAAGAGGAGCGAGGCCATGCTCAGGAGCATAAAGGGGCAGTCCCGAGAGCGTTCTGGGCTCGTCTGTGGAATCATCCTGGGGTCCTGCGTCTCGTCGTCTCTGGGTCTTCGGGTTTCGCTCGGCATCGTGGGTCAGGCAGCATGTACGCTGACCGACCCGTTCGTGTAGTTAATCCGCTACTTACATAGTTAACTGTATAGTTATCACTTAGGTGTTGAACCAGTGTACGTTTATGTAGTTAGCCCTGTTGGGGTGTTGTAACAAACATGTTGCCTCCAACTCCAGTGTGTGCCTCCGTACAGCACACTACAACTGGAGTCAGAAGTGTTAAGAAATATTGTTAGGTGATAGCCGAGTATAGAGATGTTAACTAGGAGGAAACTACTCACCAAGTCGTCTTCGGATGAGGAAGACAACGACAGGGTGATTCCCCAGTCAGCTCCGGGTGCTTAAGCCCTGGAGATCGGGCACGAGGCGGACCTGCCGCCGATGCAGTGGGCCGACCCGGACCTCGCCGGTTTGCCGCCGCCAGGGAGGGTGCGCCGATCAAAAAACGACTGCCTCGGCGACCTTCTGATCTCTGTGGCGGCTTTGGCAGCCGTCCTGAAGGAGGAGGACGACACGCCGGAGTCATACCAAAAACTTTCCGCCGTCGCTGCTTCCCGCGCGCGGGAAACCGAAGAAACGCGGCCCGCGCAAGCGGCCGACATTTTGATGAGCGAGCGGGGCGGGGTTCCCGCCAAATTGGACCTCCCGCCAAAAGCGCCGTCTCAAGACCGCGCTCTCAAGAAGAGGCTTCCGTTCGTCCGGGAGTTTGCGGCTGCGGGTGGCGACTGGGAAGCCTTCCGATGCCGTTTCGCCGCTGCCTGCAATCTCTCGAGGTGGACGGAGAAAGAGGCGCTGTGGGCGCTTCCCACAGCACTGAATGACGATGCCTTGGCAGCTTTCGACGCCATCCCGGACGAGGACAAGTCCATGCTGTCCCAAGCCCTTGCTCATTTGGGGGCGATTTTGCTCCTCCATCGAACAAGCGCCAGAAATTTGCCACGCGAAGGAGGGGGGAGGCCGAGATGCCCCTTGCCTTCCGCAGCGCGCTTCTTGCGCTGGCAAAATCAGCATACCCCGGGATGGACCAAGTGGGGAGAGACTCACTCAAGACCTCCTGTCTTCACTTGTTTCAACATCCCTAGCCGTACCCTGCTTGTTAGGGACCGATTTTCTATGGAAAATACCACTGAAGATCCTTGTGGATCAAGGCTTCATTGAGTTGCCGTCGGGCCACCGAACGGCGTTTCTCAATTCCGTAGAGCTAATGCATCGGTCCTAGCGTTGGCCAAACAAACTGTCAAAATTCCCCCCGGTGCACAGATGCTCGTTCCCTTGCACCTGAAAAAACAACTCGACTGGGAAACGACCACGGAAGGGATGTTGTTGGTTGCCTCCATCAAGGCTGCTCGTGGTAGTACTTTGTTGTATGCGCGGACTTTGGTGGCAAACGATCATGAGCCATTTATCCAGGTTTTGAACGTCGGCTCGGTCAAGTCTGTCATACAAGAAGGTATTGTTTTGGCTTATGCGTCAACCGCGTGTCGCGAGGGGAAAAACGGCGGGACTGTTGAAGTTGCAGCGGTTGCGGAGCAGAGTGAGGAATGTGACGAGTCATGGATTGACGCACTCTGCTCCGAAAGTCCGGATTTATCCGCGGCACAGAGGCACGAGTTGCATGCGCTTTTGAATGCATTTTCTGACGTTTTTAGTAAATCTAAATATATTGGTTGCACGCCACTGTTACATTACCACATCGATATGGGGAACGCCGCTCCCATTCGCCTAAACCCATACAGATTGAGTCCCAAGGAGAAAGACCACGTGCATCATGTGGTCGACGAGATGTAGGCCGCTGACATCATTTCCCCATCAAACAGTCCATAGGGGGGCATCCATTGTGCTTGTTATAAAGTAGGACGGGAGTCTGAGGTTTTGCGTCGACTTCGGCAATCTCAACAAGGTCTCCGTGGCCGATGCGCATCCGCTCCCACAGATGGATGACTAGTTAGACGCTTTGTCGGGGGCGCGTTTCTTCTCCACCCTTGATTTACTGTCTGGATTCTGGCAGTTGCCTTTGGACGAGTTTAACTGGCTCCCGATGGGACTTCACTCGGCCCCTGCCATGTTCTAGAGGTTAATGGAGTTGGTGTTGGTGGGACTTCAATGGGACGTTTGTCTAATTTACCTCGACGACGTCATTGTTTTCAGCCGTACGTCCGAGGAACACCTGCGGAGGTTGCAGGCAGTTTTTCTCAAAATGCGGGCTGAAAAGCTAAAATTTTAACTGCAGAAATGCCATTTGCTGTGAAGGTCGGTCCGGTATCTGGGGCACATTGTCAGCGAATGCGGGATATTGACGGACCCTGATAAAACTGCGTGTGTACGCACATGGCCAACCCCCAGGTCGGTGGAGCGTGTGGTTGCGTACGGGAGCAGAGTACTGTCCCCGGTGGAGCAGCGCTGTGTGAACTGCTGGCTATACTCTATGGTTCTTTCGGTAAAATCAAATAGAAAGAAATTAAATAATAATAGAGTACGACGTTTCGATTGCAACACAAGCAACCATCATCTGGTAGAAATGAATAAGAAAACAAACATAGTAAACTTGGAAATATAATGCAATACAACACAGAGAGTCGGTCAACACAAACAGTCAACACCTCACCTGGTTGATTACGTTCTTCCAAAGATTTATACATTTGAAAGACAGACAAAACATAGACACGGAAACACACAGACAGACACACAAGCAGAGAGAGACTCACACAGAGACAAACAGAGAGAGACATCCAAGTAGGCACACAGAAAGACAACGTCTCTGTGTCGAGGCCTTAAATAGAGAGGGGGGGGGGGGCAGAGGGAGAGTTGTGTGGAATTCCTGCCCATAGTGGCCGGAGGAATGGACTTATAAACAAGCTCGGAACAAGCACGGTAGAAAGCAAATTTAGTAAAATTAGGAAGAGTAATTCCTGCAGTCACGAAAGCTTTGAATCTAGTTTGAACCACCTCTACGGGTAGGGTTTGCCGTGCTTGTTTGTTTCACACTTAACTTCTAATTTAGCAATCTTTGGAAGAGCGTAATCAACCAGGCTACGCGTTAACTGTGTGCTGACCGACTCTCTGTGCTGCATTGCATTACACCCCAGTGTTGTCATCATGGGCTGTACAGCTGCGTCTCCTATTACCACACGTTCGAGCATGTGGTTAGTCACACATTTTCCATAAATTGAAACCGTAAACAAAATAAAAAGACTCCAAGTGAGCCCTTATAAAGTATTTGGCTGACTTCGCTGGCCACATGTCTTGGAGGTTGGAGTACCCACACTTGACCCCACCACACTTGACCTCCAGATTGCCTGTGAATAACACGTGAGTAAAAAATAAAATGACCCATGCATTACATCAGAGCGCCTTAGTTGTATTTAGGAACATACACTTTAGGGATACTTAAAGCTCTGTTAAATACAGCTTTTTCTTTGGGTCTTTCGGTAAAGTCACTTTATTTTCTTTGAACCTATCTACGTGACTTTACCGAATGACCCAAAAAATATGAATTCCTGCAGTCACGAAAGCTTTAAGTCAAGATTTAAATACAGCTTGATACAGAGTGGTAAAAACGTGTAAATATACTCTACTTAAAAAGCTTTACATGATGTACTGAACCGTACACTGTGCCGTGCGTGGGTGTATACTCATTGTGGTTTGTGAAATCGGGGTGATTAGCTTCCGTTTTCAGCAATTTTCCATTTTAACATCAGCCATTGTCTATACATTGCTGGATAGATCCATCACGGTCCCGAAAAGTACACAATCCATACACATTGTTTTGATCGCTCCTTCTCCGTGGTGGGTGTACTCTCGGCACGTTCCCTCTTGTGGCTGTAACTGAACTGCGTGATTGAGTCTCGAAGACGTGCCATCATCATCTGTTCATTATATTCCATTGACGTGTCCTGCCCAAGCCCAATTACTTTATTGATCAAAATTGTTGGTGAAGTCTTGAGCCAAACAACACCAGCCAAGGACGTTAATCGCCTTATTTTCATGAGTAAAGCATTCTGCCGATACCTGTAGTTATATTTTAACAAGAGTCTGTGAAGGTAGTGATGCAACCTGAAGTGTTTTTTTAAGCTATATCGCGTTTATAACTTCATCACGCACGAAGTGGCACTACGTTGATATTTTACAGCTTTTAAAGTGTAATCTCAGGGCCGTGATGGGACTGTGAGCCACACTGCTGAAATGACACTTCGAGAGAACATTCCACGAAAGAGGTTTATTGCAACCACCCACAAGTAGCGTAATGCAGCTGCAAATAACGAAACAAAAATTGAGCGATAATAATGCCAATATTATCCAAGAATGACCACGTCTCATTGGGATGGTTGCTAAATTTCGTTAACAAAACAATACGCCCTATAAAGTACTGTACTGGTAGTTACACAGCTTATGTGCAACAGTCTACAGATAAAACAGTGAAGTATGAGTTCCTACTGTGTTACGTGTCGAGAATGTATTGGACATGCCCCGTGGAGGTAGTTCATATGCCCCAAACATTCGTGTTTGAGAATGATACATTGACACGTGTAGGCTCGGCTCGGCTCTTGGAGAACGAGACTATTGTTATGCGGGACCAGAGACAATGCAGTGGGCTTAATTAGACTTTACATCCACTGGTCAATCCACTGCTGGATGAAGAAGACCTCTAAAGGGTAATTGAGGGCCAGACCAAACCAAACTTCACCACCCTGGTCAGTGGCGGTTCATGCGCCCAACTTTGATGCACCGCCCTCTGCTGCACACCTCGTGAATTTGCACTCTACACGGAATTCGTTTCCAGTGTTAGCACCGCACACATTTTAGTGTAGAACGGGGGTGAGGCGGGTGGACAAGTGGCTGTTTTGTGAGAACCTTTTGAAGGCCGACGCATTAACGCGAGAGTTGGCGTGGACGCGGTCACGCAGAGACGAGGGTCACGAACTAGGTTCAAAGACTCAAATCCCTGAGCGCTGGCGTAGTGGATGATGATGATGACGATGACCCTCGGGGACATGTTGGACTCCCCCCCCCACCCCCACAATAGATAATGCGCTTGGAGTCCTGCACCCACCAGCGCAACTCTAGTGTAGCGCACGTCCCGTGCGCACATCCATTACGCAGCGCAACACACCGCACGCACGACACATCATCATCACCATCATCATCACCAACACCGTGCAGGCCCGAGCCCTCTGCAGCTGTGCGGGGACTCCGACGGTGCACAGTTCCGGGACCCCCGAGGCGACCCCGAGGCGACCCCTGTCAGGAGCCCCCCTCTCCTGGGGGAAGGGGGTGGTGGGTGGGTGACACGACCGTGGCCTGCCTCGCTCTTCGCCGGCGACCTCGCTTCTCCACAATCCCCGGTGGGTTGGGGCCGACCCCGCGGCGGCGTTCGGGGACCCCGCGGTGAGGCCCCCACGGGGCCGGCTGCGCCCGCGGCCCCGGCGGCTCGAGAGGCGGCGGGCGAGGAGGGGCCGGGACCCCCGGGGGCGTGCGGGGTTGCCGACAGACATCGGTTCGGGTTTATAGGGATTTGTTTAGATCGCATTTTAATGTAAAACCCACCACCCACCCGCCGAGATCTTGTGACGATGTGCTGAACTTTATTCCCGCTGCTGGCACCGTTTTAATAGAAGTTTGCGTCGGTCGCGGATTTGGTGGCAACTTCCGTGTGCGTTGTGCGCACTTCTCGAGGGCGTCGGCGAGCAGAGGAGAACCTTGTTTGTGTTCGGGGGTAGGGGGATACCAGTGGGGCCCAACTCTGTGAGCAGGTAGCTGCAGGGGTGGACGTGGTATGCAACAGGCCACACAATGTGCACTGAATGTCCGACGTAGATTCCGGCGTAAGGAAGGAGGCGATGGCGTCAGTGGCCCTGAACGGGATGAGCGTTTGAACTCGAGGTCGGATTTGGCACCTTTGGGGGGACGGGGGGTAACAACAATAACTTGACGCATATCGTAGCAAGAGGAATATTTGTAAATCAGTGCCGTGAACTACAGAGAGATAGAACTGCCGTGCATTGTCTTGCGAGAGCGGTGTGCTGATAGGCAACGTACAAAAGCGATGACTTATGGGATGGGGCAAACATTTATCTATACAGTACAACGATTTATTAGGCTGCACCGCCGTCTGCTGGCCAAAATGTGTGAATACTGATAAACTTTTTTCCCCCCAGGATAACTTCACCGCGAATCTCGAGGATTTTGATTTCAAGAGGGTCTCTTGCATTTGAACGGCAAATTCCATTCATGTGTATTTGGCATGTAGGAGTAACACTAGATAATGCAGAGAAAACTTGGAAGTTGGGGAAGTCCTGCCAGAAAATGGTTCCCAATGGTTATTGTTTATTCTAGATTTGAAGCTTTCGTGACTGCAAGGATTTATACTCTTAGGCTTTTTCGGTAAAGTCACGTAGGTAAAAATAAAAATAAAATTAATGGAAGTAATAATAGAAATATTGTTTAGGTCATAGAGAGTATAGAGAGTATTTGTGAAGTTTTCCCCCTACTTTGTCACAAATAAGGAGAATCCCGCTGTCCTATAATGATTCAACACTGATTACTAACTCGTCAATGAGCTTACTATGTATGTGCTACTTTGTATTTAATGGTGCTTCAATTAGCCTAATCATCATTTACCTCCTTGTTGAAATCGTAAATATTTTATTGTCAAAAAAATGCTGCATCTCATTTCGCCATATCTTGAAATGTGGGGAGTGGTCTATGGTGTCATAGGAAACCTGTTGTTCTGGAAGAGCTCGGGTCATTACTTACGTTTCTCTGCACCCAGAGATGTCTCAGAAGCAGGAGCTGGTGAGCCGACTCAGGCAGCAGGACATGACTGGGAGGCTGTGGCCCTGGCTGGCCAAGCTTCCTCGTGCGTCCGTGCTCGTGCCGCTGTTGTTGTGGAACGGAGAGCCCCATGTGCTGCTCACAGTGCGCTCTGAGCAGGCGAGTCACATTAGCGATTTTCTCATTGACGTCGTGAATTATGGTCAAATAAAATCAATCAGTCACACGGTGTGGGCAGGCCGTCATCCATTGGTGAATTGACAACAATTATACTGGACTGTACTTTTCTCTCCCTGCTCAGCTGCGAACAAATAAAGGAGAGGTTTGTTTCCCGGGAGGGAAGCAAGACCCGCAGGACCAGGATGAGACAGCCACAGCTTTGCGGGAGGCACAGGAGGAGATCGGACTGCCCCCTGATCAGGTCGAGGTGGTGTGTCAGCTCGTGCCCATCATCAACATGGTACCACACTCACCGCTTGCCATGCTTTCAGAAGGTCCTTTAAATGTTGTAAAAAAATGCTCACTGGCTTGTTTTTATCACAAAACAGTGTCCTGTTTCTTACTTAAAGTTTACCTACATTTTCATATTTTGAATTCATTGCTTTATATTTGAAAAGTTATGGTTACAATATTTGTTAGAATTTAAAAGATGTAGCTCATTTCATTGTCCAATAGCAATGCAGAAGGCTATGGTGTAAAAATAAAAAAAATGTCTTTGGAAATGACTCATAATTCTATTATGAATCATTGCTCATGAAAGCCTCGGTGTTAATTTTGCTTAAAGTTGCATTTAATGTACTCCATTGCCTAAACTATTCTGTAATTTACATAATGTTTGCATACGCCAGGTTTTGATCACAATATGACATTCAAAATATTGAAAAAAAAAATCTCCTCAAAAATTTTCATAACAGAACCGGTGCACGTTGTGTTCCAGAGGGGATTAATGGTCACCCCGGTGGTAGGATTCGTGCCACCGGACTTTGAACCGAAGCCCAACCCGGATGAAGTGAGTGCCATATTCCACATGCCGCTGGCTCACTTTTTGAGCCCCATCAACCACAGGGACCGTAAGTTCACCGCGCCAGGAGGCTCCACATTTAATATCCACTACTTCACCTATCAGGAAGCGAAGAGCGGTGAAGCTGAGGGACCTTCTTATCAGATTTGGGGCCTGACTTCCATCATTTGCATCGTGGTTGCCACCATCGTCCTTGGCCGAGCGCCTGAATTCCCGGTGAATTTCGACGTTTCAAATCCCCAAGGTTTTATGGAGCAGTATCTGAATGATAGAAGGATCCCCAATAAGCTTTGAGAGCATTAGCCTGATACTGAAGTCATAATCATCTGAAAACATGAAGCTGATCATTTGTAAAACGGTGTACAGCAATCCCTTGACAACCACGCTTTTGCCAACCATGGTTTCGAGTATCCACGCATAATATTATTTTTACCGTTTTTCTGCCAACCACGGTTTGGTTTTTCGTTTCCCGTGACTTGAAATCTTCAAGCATCTGCCACCGAGGGCGCTGTAATACTCTAAAATCGTACACCTGACGAATCAAGCTTAAGATCGATGATCCCATCGCAGTCCGCTTTTATTGTACCACGGCTCCATCAAGCACGTGGTGTACCCATGCTTGTCCACTTACAGCACTTGTCCGCGTCGTTCAGTGTTGTGCAGCAGTCGACCTCATGAAAGTGTACCAGCAATTTTTGCCATTAAGCATGGCACCGAAGCGTCGAGCTGGTGGTGAAGGTGAGCGTAATGTGAAGAGGGCAAGGGAAGTGGTTTGTCTTCAGACAAAAAGAGTTCTTAGTCTTGCCAACCACGGTTTTTGCCAACCAGGGGGGGTTTCAGGAACCTAACCACCGTGGTTCGCGAGGGGTTGCTGTATATATTATTTGAAATAGGTTTAATTGGCTCAAAACACAAGCTCTTAAAATCTAAGCAGACCAACTCTGGATTTTACAGGCCCTTTGTTATAAGACCGCCTTTTTACCCATGAAGACACCCACCCCTTCTGAAGAAATTAGGAACACTTCCCCTTGTGTTTACTATTGTCTCTTCAAACAATTCTTTACATTCTCACCATAATCCAACTGATCCACGTATATTATTTTGTATAGATACACTGTATACTCAATATACAGTATATATTACAAAGTTAATAATGTACCAGTGGCAGTACTTTTTATGTAAAACATGTATACCCAAAATGTAAACGGAACATTAAAGAAACATGTGATAATACTTCTAATTGTTAAATGAGCATTGTGCATTGAACATTGTGTGAACAGTGACTTGGATAACTGTTGAAATACTTTATTAAAATATTGAATCATTTTACTTCAGTCGTTTTTGATTTATTTTAATAGTAAAAGCAAACAATCAAATGACATTCAAAATCTTTACATTCAAATACTACCCGCCATCTGGCGTCTGCCCCCCATCACTGACCAATCAGAATGCTTCCCAGCGTCAAGCGATCATCTATGATACATAATTTCCCCACGACCGGCCATCTGGCGTCTGCCCTTCATCTCTGACCAATCTGCATGCTCTCCAGTGTCAAGCGATCGTCTGTGATGCTTAATTTTCCCCAGTGTCGATCCGTCATTACCGAAGGTCACGTGGCCAACACCGTATAATCCTCGATTAGCCGGATTCGAATTTCCCGACAAAAATACTGGACCAATCGATGTGTTCAGCTCAGGCGCGCGTGGGGCGGTTGGTGGAAGGGTCATGTGTGTGAAGTGTAAAATGCAATGTTTTGAGTGGATAGCTGCCCATGTGCTTTTAAAATTGTAAAAGGCCCATGTGATGATCCCCAGTATCAGCCCTATAGTGCTTACTGGCGAATAGTGTGCTGATTGTTAGGTGTGTGTAAAGTGGGAGTTGCGTCTGGTGAGTGTTAGGTGTGTGTTTGGTGAGTATCCAGTGAATGGTGAGTGTCTGATGAGGGCTGTGTCAAATGAGTGGAGAGTGATACATGTGAGTTTCTGGTGGGTGGTATCAGGTGACTGGTGAGGGTGTGGTGAGAGTGCTTGGTGATACATCATCAGCTTTATTACAAAGTACCGCTGTACATAATGTCGCTAGCAAACGTAGTACATTATGTAACACGTGTGTTAACACAGTTCGGAAAACTTAATTTAGTAATTTCCAACATAGTACAATATGAAACGGTCGCCGCATTAGTGACATTTATCGAACATCAAAAATCCACAGCCACGCTACTGCTCAAAGGAGCATTTCTGTTCTTCAGAGTTTGTCTTTAACTCATGGACTTGAACAGACAGATGAGGCAGCTTGCCAGTGTTAGGCTGCCCAAGGCTGTCAGCTGCATGCCATCTGATTTTGATGATGGTCCCTCTGTGAACAAGTACGGCTGGTCCTGCAGGCATAAGGACAAACCATATGCAAGTACATTAATGTTGGTGTGTTATATATACGTATTGATCCTGGAGTGATTCAGCTGCATTTTTAACTAAATAAATACAAATCCTCATATAAACTATACACGTTAGGATTCGGACACAAGCTCTCCCTCATGTTCACTTGGCTATTGAACAATGTATGTGATGTTGCATTGTAGTTGTGTCCTTGTGAAGGGCATCGAGAACAATTTCTTGGAGACAAAAATATATTTAAAAATGCTTTTTAAAAACACACGCTTTAATGAAATGTACCGTACGAGTAATGGCAGAACTCCACGACTCCAGGAAGTGGGCCCGCAGCTTGTGATTTACAGCCAACGTGAGTTGAGCGTGGACAATTAGACCAGTAAAAAATATTTTTAAAAAGATATATTTTTAATGATAGAATATCGTATTGTCATCAGTATGACATACCTATACCAAGTTTGTAGCCGATACGACATTGGGAAGATGGTTGAAATTGAGTTACAATATTTGAGGATATGACAACAGACAGAGTGAGTTAAATAAAAGTGTGTAAAATGTAACAAAAAATGTTTTTACATTTTTATGATAAAATATCGTATTGTCATCAGTATGGCATACCTATACAGTACCAAGTTTGCAGCCGATACATTGGGAAGACGTTGAAATTGAGTTACAAGATTTAAAGATACGACAACAGACAGTGAGTTAAATGAAAGCGTGTAAAATGTTTAAAAATATTTTTTTTATTTTTAATGATAGAATATAGTCTTGTCATCAGTATGATATAAGTATACCAAGTTTGTAGTCGATAGCACATTGGGAAGTGGGTAAAAATTGAGTTACAATATATTTTTTTAAATAATAAAAGCGTGTAAATCGGGTACCAGACCATGAACCCACGTGCTCATAGTCACCGTCAGGGGGCAGTCATCGTTGCGATTTGTCACTTCACTTTTATCCGGAACACCTATCAGCAGTTACAGTTCTAAGTAACTTCACATTTGTTAATAATCACGACTGCCTTAGCTCACATTTGAAGGTGCAGTGTACTTAATCCCGTTGATTTAGTGCAATGTATCACCTTTGTAGGGCATTTCAGCTTTTTCCTGCTTGGTGTAAAGTCGTTGTACGTTTGCTTCTTACCCACGGGCTCCAGCTGAATAACAGGACGATAATCACAATATATTTTAGTTTGTTCCATCACACCAAACAGTACAGGTATTGTAGTGGTATAGTACTTATAAGAACACGTACATATAAGCATGTAATGTACACAGAGCGTGTATGTTTCATGAGCAAAATGTATTGTGGTGTGTTGTGTCTGCCATGGTAAGATGGTTTAGTTTTGAACTACAGTAAACTCACCATGTTGTTCCAAACAGCAATGGCCATCTCGGCCTGCCCCTTCTCGCTGAAATGGAAGCAATCCCTGGAGAAGTAGCTGAGGTCTGGTTCATTGAGCTGTCATTGGAGGAGAGTGCAGGGGTTACGCAGTGCTGTCAAGAGGACATCTGTGCATAGATCGAGTGCTTGTCCATTGCATGATGTTCACAAGGAGTTGGTGAAAGTGAATGTGACCCTTGGGCACCAACCTCGTCCAGTGGAAGGAAGGTGTTTCGGAAGAAGGGCTGCAGAACGACGGTGAAGTCATCGCGGTCGGAGTACTTGCCGCTGGCAATCAGGTTGCTGGTTTTTGTCTGCAAAGGCACAGTGACATCACAGTTCACCATTGCCGTATTACGTGTTTTAAGGGCACCAACAGATTCCGGGCCTTAATGTGCCCCGGTACTCATATTCTTGGTTCTTTCGGTAAAGTCACGTAGATAAAAAACAAAAAAAAAATAATAAAAAATAAAATACGTTGAAAATAATAAAAGCCAAAAAAACCACAATGAAAAATAAATTGAAAATAATAAAAGCAAAAATAACACAATCAAAAATAAAAATAGTACCTGGTACTCCCTGTTGACGATGACCATTTCTTCTAGCTCCTTAGAATATTCTCCGGGATTGATGAAACATGGGCAAAGTAACCTGTATGATAAAAAAATATATATCGTTGAATAGTTTTCATAATGTTTACTTCAATACAAAAATACAAATGAATACATCGAAAGTTTGTTGCCCCTAAAATAAATAGTGCAATGCAGTGTATGCCATTCTTTATTTTGATAGACATCGGGTAAAATAAGATGATTCTTCCTGTTTGTAAATACGATGGTTGATATAATAAGAAAAAGACATGTCAGGATTATTAAAATCATCAACTACTGGCACTAGCCAGTATTGGATAATTTATATTTCCAAAGGAAAATAAATTGGACCTCTGGAGAGGGCAGTAAACACAGGCACAGAAGAGAATTACGGAATTCACTATCATGATCGAGATCCATGTGCAGATAGCCCGTGGGTGTCCACTCCACATTTCGAATTCCCTATACGAACTGGAAATTCGCAAAAATAATTGGACCATTTGGAGTGGTGTTATGCAGAAGGAACACTTGATTATTTCAGTTTCAAATGTATGTCGTGTGGACCTCGGATTCTTGGAGCAGCCGTAAGCGCTGGACACGAGTCTCCGCAGCCCTTTGATCTCCAGCATCTCCACCAAGTTCACAAACACCCTCGGCATCTGTGCACACACGCCGCTTTATTCGTGACCCATGATTCTGGTGACATCCTTGCTCAAGGATCACGCCACGGTAGTTTACCGTGAAGGACTATTGAGAGGTTTTTCATTTTTTAAATGCAGTTAAATGGATTGTAGTTACATTGAGGACCACATCTTACGGTGACAAATGTTCAGTAAAAACTCAAGCAAACAAAATGTAACGTAGAATTGTATTTGTTAACTTGAATATCCCGACTTGTAAGTGTGTGCAGATACCCGAGCCTGAACCAAATGGTGCTTGCGCTGTTAAGGAAACCGTGTGCACAGTAGTGTATACTGCAATAGCAACGTCCATAATAATATTCAGCCATGATTAGTCGACTGTTGGAGAAAGGCGTCCTCAAGCCTACACCCATCTGCTTTCGGCAAATTAGTTGCTTTTCATTATCACGTTAAGTTTTCCAATACACTCTCAGCTGCCCTCATAATAATTTCTCAGGATGTCTACTCTGATGTGTTTTACAGTTGTATTATTAGCGAATTTGTACATTACCTTGTGTTTCTGTCATACGTATCTTGAGCCAAACTTTGCAGCCTTCTTTATTGAGGTTTTCAATCACAATTTGTTGTTATTATGATTGTATCTTTGTCGAATCTGAGACAGTTAATACTTTCTCCATTTGTCTGTGCTTTTATATTTCAATCCAATTTTCGGAAAATATAACTTCAAATGTCGCTGTGAATAATTTTGGTGAGAGCTGATCTCCTCGGCCGACTCACCTTATGATTATATGTTTTGTTCATTCGTGCAGTCTTCATATAAATATTATATTATCGTAAATATCTTTTGAATCTTTCTATTTTTTTTAAAGTAGGTCTCGGTTTGTGAGAGCTTGGATGATTTTTTTTTTAGAAAAGCTAGACATGGAATAGTTATTAATTAGTATTTTCCATAATCTGACACTCACTGTCATCAATGGTAACACACCTTTCCTAAAATCTAGATTGTCCGTTATTCTGCTCCCAATTGTTACTACAGTATATATATGTGTATGTGCAAGACAGCTGTAAAATACAAACATGGTAATTTTGGCTGCATTATGGAATGTGAATCTGCCGTTCCAAGGAACTTGGTGATGTACCTTTTCATACAGAATGTCCAGGGCTGCAGAGATGTGATTTACAAACTTGTCAGCTGAACTTTCTCCCTGTTGGAACAAATATTAGATTTAGGATCACTGAAAAGTAACTTTCAATGTACGCCACTGTCAAATAATAACTATATTCCCATTGCATGATTGTAAAATTACAACTATGATCATTCACGTAACTTTCATTTGCACATGTTTGAGGATTACCTTTGCATCAATTCCCCTGTAAATGTAGCTACGTTTACAGTGTCTGGAGAAGCCGTTATAAATGTCATATAAATAGGAGTTGTATTGTAAAAATGTGTGAAAATATATAACTACATCACAATGAATTGTCAAATGGCAAAGGTAGTAAGCACATTGCTGTGGAGTGGATAGCTCTTGCCAAATGTTTTAGAAAGCGGACCTAAGTAGGAGTGTGTCACATGAGCACTTTCAATCAGGCGGGCAGATACATTTTAAAGTTTAGGTTTCATGACAGGGGTGCAGGCAGCAGAGGCTGAGCTGCAGCGGAACCTGGCGTGAAATTGAAATAACTCGATTGGGATTGCATAAAGCAGTCACGACCCCCTGCTGGTAGACTAATGCCCACGTGCAGGCTGGCACTGAGCTACAGGGACAGCTGCGATCAGGGCATCCTGTCGGCTAAAAAAAAATATTCACTCTGACATGTTTTGTTCTATTATGGGCACAATATAAATGCAAGGATTAATGATTACCTTGCTGAGGCAGTACTGGCACAAGTCGTTCCCACCGATGAAGATCGTCACCAGCTTCCAGTCATTGTTGAAGTTAATATTCTGATTATCGGTGAACACAAAACATCAACAGTAGGCAGCATTACTCTTCACTTGCTTTGGACGTTAAACAATTAATACATCAATTCAAGTATGATAACACGGCATAATCGGCAAAAAGCTGAGATGGAAGTGGGGATTACGGCACTGATAAAATTCAAATAAGTTAAATTTAACAGAAATGTTTTTAGTCTGGTCTTAAAAACACCGAATGCCACGGCTGATTTGACTTCAGGTGGTGAAGACTGTTCCAGACCATTTCCTACACAGCAAATGAGCGTGGATTCCGCGATGGTACGTATGGGTTGATGGCATGGCTCAGCTAAGTTGGTTGACCAGTTCTCTTTGCGATAAAACAAAGGACCTCGGACTGTGCAGCTTTGCAGCTGCTACAGCAGAAAATACAGACACACTCACGTTGTTATTGCTCATGCGAGTCACCAGCTCTTGTGCTTGCCCAGTGAGGTTTCTGCCGTGGCAGAACGTGCAAGGATCAATACAATGTCACGGGCGGTGAAACTACAGCAACGGTTCCACACATACACATCTTAAATAAGCCTTTAAATGTTATTTTCTCCACAATGAAAGCAATTTTTTGCGAAGCATTTTTTTGTGTGAATAGCTTTGAAAATCGGTATGCAGTAAGAGGGGTTTAACAATTGACAGCCTGCTGCTTATGTATGTATTTAGCACTTCTTCCACAATGTTGGTAGCCAACCGAGCTAATCGGAGGTGCGGTGGAAGGATTAAAAAATCCACCGGTAGGGCTGGCAAGTATGGTTACGAATAATTGCTCCCACCCAGTTCCGGATTAAGCTAGTGCGGGGCCTGTGGCATATGTTATAAAGGGGCCCTAAATAAAAAAAAACATTAATATTAAAACACACATTTTTAACTTGCATAGTAAAGTAATTGTATTTTTTCATTTGCTATACAGCCAGATAATACGACAAATCGCTAACCTTAAACACCCAGTCGTTCGTAAAAGTTGAAGGCGGTATAGTACTATAGTAATAGAGCAAGTGCAGAATCACTGAACCGGAATTGATAGCTTGAAAGCATTTAGCGCGGGGTCCTTCAAAGTGCGGGGCCCGTAGCATATGTAGCTACTTTTGCCATGAGGGTAATCCGGCACTGTTCCCACCTCCAAGTACGGATGATAAATACTCTTTGGTTCTTTCGGTAAAGTCACGTAGTTAGAAATAAAATACTACATTTTTTCGGTAAAGTCACATAAAATATTCTATTTTATCTCTAACTACGTGACTTTACCGAAAGAACCAAAGAGTATGGATTCCCGCAGTCACGAAAGCTTCACATCAAGTACGGTTGATGAATCTCAACCCACGGGATAATGTCGTTCAAGCTCTGACTAATGATTGCAGTCGCATTCCCCGGGTCGCGAGGTGGCGATCGCGAGGTGTGGGGATGAGTCACCGTGCACGCGCTCCCGGCACGGCGACGTTGAACCGCGCGTTAGGAGAGTCCTTGCTGCCGATGCCCTCCGAGAAGCCGTACAGATTGGGGTTGAACTTCTTCAGGATGTCTGTGTCGGCGTGAGAGGACAGCAAAGAGTGTGACAGGGCATCGTCAGGTGATGGATCTCTGGACGGGCAACGATTCAGTTTGCACCCTCATTCCACCCGCACCTCCGATTAGCACGGTTGACTACGTGCGGTGCGAAAGAAGTTCAGCATACACGCACACGTATAATTGGAATATCATCTCTGGCTGTCACAGTGCTCCATTTCAAATGGTGAGCAAGTTGTGGAAATTACATATTACTATGGCAGGGACCACTTTAGAGATGGATAATTCAAATCGGCTTGTGTGCAGGAGCTTAATGGACTGAGTTTCAGTATTGCGAGACAGTGAGAGATGGTGACAGAATGGGGAGACCTTTCGTCCAGCGGCTCATCATGATTACAGCAGGGTCCAGTCTGTTCGTACGACAACCACAGCTGCATTCACCATGAAGTGAAACTCATTTTACTGGGAGGAACCTCCTGGTTACACCAGCCCACAGGGGATTATTGTGTCCGTCCGTCGTGCATCCAAAATGGGAGGGGTGGGGCTGGGTGGAGAGGGGAGGGTGGGGAGGGGCTGGGTGGGAAGGGTGGGAAGGGGCTTGGTGGGGAGGGTGGAGAGGGGCTGGGTGGGGAGGGTGGGGCTGGGTGGGGCTGAGTGGGGAAGGGCTGGGTGGGGAGGGTGGGGCTGGGTGGGGGGTGGGAGGGGTGGGGCTGGGTGGGGAGGGGCTGGTCACCTCGTGGTGCTCTTATAAAACTCAACGTTTAACCTACTCACGCCGGCTTGTGCCCGCCCTCACAATCGGGCATATTTGCGGAATACACCACGCCGCCGTTGACCCTGGACATTGACCGAGCAACCCAACGTTCCTACCAGCTCCCTCCGCAGGAATGTGTTTTCAAACCCAGATTCAACCCCCCCACCCGATCAGCATTGTGTATGGAACGCATCGCTAACAACCCTGCTTGGCCGGCTGTGGTGCAAATTATTTTGCGCGGAAGAATCGCGGCGTTACTCACTTGCAAGAGTCGTGACCGTGCTGAGAGTTTCATCTCCTCCAACACTGTGTGAGGGAAAAATAAAAAAAATGATGAAAGATGACCGACCTTCCTCGGCAGGCATAACTCATAATCGTGGTAATGTTCAGTGGTGCGCAGTGATTCCCTTCGTGGCCCAACTCACCTCCAAGAAACCCCTCTCCACTGGCTGGTAACGTTGCTAAAATAGTCGGCCCTGGCTCCATTGGCAGCCTGTGGACAATTATCACAGAGAACTGCGTTAAATCGGATGGGAGGGAGTAACCCCAATGCTCACACAGGCTGTTACTTGTCGAGTACATGTCAATTGCATGTTCCTTCCCTCACGAGCTCTGCCAACAATGAAACGGCAGAGCCTTTGATCAACCGACTAGATTGGGTGTCATATACAAAGCGATCGTTGCTTATCACCAAAATGTGGCAGACTGAGGAATGTCGAATGGCAATCTTAAGCGTGTGATTCGTGGCACGCAATATGCGTGATTGTGCCTTAGCATCGAGATAAAAAAATGATACGGAAGCACTTCGGCAAACAGTCTTAAGACATTGGTTTTGCCGAATTGCCCTGAGATGCATGGAAACCTTCGACAACTTGCTGTGTGTGCCCAACTTAGAAAGTGAAGGCACCATGTTAAAGTAGAGTGCTGAAAAGTGTTGCTGACTTGCATAGCATTTACTGATGCACGGACACGGCTTTTAGTTCAAAAGATGCATTTAAAATTCAGAAGGCAGGCGTACCGCTGTCAGCTTAATGTGCACCATGAGCGATTCACGACCAAATATGTTTGAAGCCGTGCCGTCGGGAATTGTGCCGTCCCCTTACCGTCAGTGAGTCGCCGAGCGCCGCAATGACCTTGATGTCTGCTGGCCTCAGGGTGTGCACTGGATGAGGATTGAGGGTTGGAAGCAGAGACAGCACTCGAATCAAGAATCTCTGTCGTCACCAACCAAAATCGAAGTTGATTTACATCAGGGCGAGCACAGGCGTTGCGTGTGATCTGCCATCTCACCAGAAGTGGGGACGGTGCTTGATGGAGTTGTATCGGTGCAGGAGAAATCACTTCCCCAGTTCTGCAATGAGAGAAAAGTCATTCCTGAAGATAGATTCTTTAACATGTGCATTTTTAAGTTTCAGAATAAGCCAAAGACAGACATTTGTAAGCATGATATAACCACAAAGCACTTAATCTATTTGAGAAAATATATTGTGATGAAATAATATTAGTCTTGATGTCATATCTCACCTTTTTCTTGTAATTGTAGTCGCTGTTCTTGTAAGTATATAGGTATGGTTCTTTCTGCAAAAATCAATATTCGCTGTTTATTAATTTTCAACACACTGTTGCAATAATGAAAGGCAATGACAGTGGCATGAGATGTGGATGTATGTGGTGGTGGTGGTGTTATCGTACCTCTGTGGGACAGCGGATGGACAGGTCAGCCACAAAGTCCTGATCGATGGTTTTCTTTCCCACAGGTTCCAGCTGCAAACCAGCAAGTAAGGTCACATTTGCCTTAAATCATCATCTCACCATTCTTTAACATCAGCTATTCTTGTGGGTAAGGCAATGTGCTATATTTTTCCAACAGAGTTGACTTGAGGTTGAGACAGGTCAGATGCATTTTAGGTTTGCAATGCACATGGGCGTTGCAAACTAAGTTGCAAATGGTTTTGTTTTGGAAGACTTTCAACCGAAACAGGTGTTATCTGATTCTTTCTGTTTATGATTTCACAAAATAAGATAAGCACAACACCTATAGGTTGAGTACTACTTTGCCTTAAATAGAGGCGAGTGATTAGATAACGGGTTTTCAATCCTTTATTGTCTCATAAACAAAGGACATAAACAACAAAAATGTGTTAGTAACCATGAAACATCCACGTCTCACAAACACGAAAGGTCATTTCATCTATCGCACAGCCGCAGTCGATTACCAGCCTCGAGGTCACAGTGCCGTCGTACCATGTTATTCCAGAGGGCCTTGGCAGACAGCGCATGGGCCTTCTCACCAAAGTGGAAGCAGTCCGGAGAAAAGAACGACGAGTCTGGTTTCCCTGCCTGCACACCAGCAAGGCACGTGCCAAACAAAGAGGGTCAACAGCACACAACTGATCACCCTGTCCCTGCACGCTGTTCACCACCTTTGCAGGCGTCTGATGAAACAACCCCAGCATGGATTTGCCGATTTTTGTTGTTGTTGTTGTTGTTGCGATTCGGGGGCAAGGATTCAATTCAAGGACGCATTGTTTTGTGTATCGGTTTTTATCAACTTGTATTTTTTCTCAGTCTTTTATTTAATTTGTACAGATTTGTTCGCTCAATTCACCGAAACGGAACGTTAGCATGTTATTTACATCAATCGTACAAATGGTCAATCTCACTCATGTTTCGATGCATGTGTTGTAAGTGTGAGATTTAATATTAGTATGACGAATACATGCCTTCATACATGCCTATGACAAAACATCTGTTGCAATCTAATTTAACTTATTTAGATTATGGACACATAGATGTATATTTTTGTGTCTGTGACCGAAGAACATTGACAGTGGAAGGTGTGTGCTGTGCAGGTGGGCGATGCGTAATAGTTATCAAACTGTGCTACAAACTCGGATACTCGAGTTCAATTCCCGGCCACGATTAACATCAATGATCACATTTCCCAAACAGTCCTGAGTATCCCTTTGGTTGATTCCGCCTTAGATGAGTAGCCAGTGTGGTGTGATACACATCAGCCCCGCGGAGACAAAGTCTAATGGGCATGGTAGCAGCCACACCATCTTCCCGTGTGCTGTTCGAGCCTTAATAGGTGTTCCCTAGCAGCACTTGCTGTTGAAGGCTACACAGGGAGGAGCATATATGTCATTGTACTGTGCTGGTGACTGCGCTGACCGAATTCATGGGCATGGTGAGGTTACGCAGGAAGGGCTGCAGCACCACCGTGAAGTCGTCCCTCGTGTCGTAGCGCCCGCTCTCGATCAGCTCCTGCTGTCGTTGCTGCATGAGGAAGACAGAGCGCACGCCAGCAGCTTGTCATGATCTGTGTCAGTGTCATCATCATCGTCATCATCATTATCATCGCCATTGTTGTTACTAATCATAATCATCATTGTTGTTGCCTTCAACATCATCATCTTCATCTTATTTCATGAGCAAGAAAGTACATCAAGTCTTATAACCGAGTGCCACAATTCAAAACACAGGTCTAAAACCACATCGATAATTACATGCTTGCATTTTGAATGTTATGAACCAGTACTGTTACAGCATATATCTAACGGCAACCAAACTCATTCACCAGCGTTTAAATGATGTCACCAGTGTAAATTCAACAATGTAACCCTTTTGGCTGGTTTCCTAAAATGCCTTAAGGGAAAAAATTCTGCTTTACACTCATGTATACAGCATCGTAACTTAAGGTAAACATTTACCTTTTGTTTATGCAATTAGTTACTGGGACTTGGGTTTTCGTATAGATGTATTAGTGTATGAATTTAACTATCTCTAGTGATAGTCCAGTATTTAAATCTCTTTGTGCATTGGAACGAAGTTGGATCGTGACTTTTACGAGCCAGTTGTATATCGTGAACCCCAGCGAATTGCACAGCTGTAATGTGTGCACAATATTTAACCAGCGGGAGGATGTCATTGTGTAAGCTGTATAACTGTTGCCACTGTTGTGTCCAGCAAACTATTAGTTTATTGCTCGCATTGAGAAAAAGAAAACATGGGAGAATGTTTCTATTTGCATTGAGCGGTACATTCTTCTTTGTGTGCAGCTTAGCATTTCTGCCGTGTGAGGATTTGCGGACGTGTGCGTTTTTAATAGTTCAAGTTCATGTATTAGGTATAGCCCTGTGAGCCATTCGGCTCTTGAATCGGGTGCAACCGCAACAAACAAAAAACAAAAACATGAACAAGAAAACATCTTAAAGTGACTATGTGCAAACAGAAAATCCAAGAAAAGACAGCAAAATATTGCAGAAAAAGCACCATACACAAACACTGTGTGCAAAAATCCCAGTGGGATGCAAGTCAAACAACAACAACAACAAGACAACTTAGATTAAGGCCATAAGTCTAACTCTGTACTACAACAAACAAACATGGCCAAACCGAAAAACTTTTCGAAAATCACCAAAATAAAGCCATAAAAGCAATGAAACAGTGATCATAGGAACTGTGACCGAATTTTCACAATAAACGACGAAAACAACATGTACTACCAAACTCTGCAGCCATAGCTGGCTGCATGAGTCACTCCACAACAGCAGGAGCATCAGTCGGAGTGTCAACAATAATTTGACTTGAGCGCTGACATACGTGTTCATGAATGTGTTTGCCGTGGATTTTGGAGACTCCGCAGCAGTACCTGGTATGCCCGGTTGAGTGTGATGAGGTAGTCGAGCTCGCTGGAGCCATCTGAGAGATCCACCACGCAGTCACACAGCTCCCTGCGGGGACACGTTCACCCTGAGCCTCGCTTGGGAGTCGCGGCGCCGTGCAGCAAGCACACATTCTCCAACCGCAAGCCCTCTTTGTGACACTTTGAAGCTCTTATTACAACTGTCGTCATAAACAAACGTTCAAGGGTGTTTCAAAGGATCACAGAGCAGCACACGTTGCTGTTGGCGGTCTTGAGCAAGTTGTGAAAAATTCCACATTCTTTCGGCATATAACGCGTTGGGGGTTTGGTTTGGTTCTTGTCTGCCATGCATCAATGGTGTCTCCCCACGCACCTGAGGATGATTCGGGGGCAATCATTGTCCTCGTCATTATACAGTCCTCGCAAGGGCTCGATGTACAGCATCTCCATGAGGTTCACGAATGCCCGTGGCACCTGCAGCACACACAGTGAGAGATTTTCACGCTGCCCTACACTTCTGGACGTTGGACATGTAATATGGCGACGGCTTAGAGAGGCCATCATTCAGCAGCGGATTGATCATGGCTGTTGCTGATGGATTATGACGTGGCCTAGTAGTAGTGCAGTGTTCTCCATTGCAAGGCCCGCGAGGGCACTGGTGGGCCCCTTGTGGCCTTTAGCGTGACCCCGGACATGCAGCCGCTGAAAATACACAAGTCGTGAAAACCACCCCTTGTAGGCAGGTGTGGCGGCCCTCACACCGATGTCTTACCGGCGGAAGTGGTACCTCTCTGACAATTAGTGAAGAACACCGTGGTCGTGTGTTCGTCGCCCGCCCTAATAATTCTTACTGTGGGTGTAATGACCACGGTGAGACTACATGCTGTCTGCTTCCCAGTGGACGCTGAGGATCTCCCGACGTCATTCGCAAGACGAGACCATTGTGTGCCAGCATCAGAGTCTGAATTCTCAGAGTAAAAAATGTACCCGCAAATGACTAAATTTGGAATATACATAACATTCATCGCCCCCTACTGGCAGAATCACCCCCCAGGTTACTCTTGCAATTGAGACTAGCGTTGACTCTTGGTTCTCACCCAGATAAATAAAAATAAACTTTAATCTTAACGATGGGGTGCCAGTGTGAGCTCCGTACCTCTGCATGCAGGATGTCGAGGGCTTCGCTGATGTACGTTATGTAGTTGTCGGCGGAGTGGTAGGGCTGTTGACATCCACACAATTTAGGTGTCCAGATCAGTGTCACGTTTAAAATGTAAACATTCGATTTTTGTGTTAGATTGGTTCACGTGTTTTCGTGTAAATGGAGCAAACCTTGTTTGAGCAATATGCGCAGAGGTCATTTCCACCAATGAACAATGTGATGATCTTCCAGTCATTATTGAAATCTATTCTCTACAGAATAAAGCAAAACAATAGTACAATTATAAACTGCCAACTTAAGCATGTAATGTTCTATGGCCAGTTGAAATTACTTCAATGTTACAGTAGTTGCATTTGGAGCCATTAGTAATGGATATACAGTCGTTTCATTTCGGCAAAAGGCAAAGTCACTGTCAGCATGGTGTGCTCCGGTTCATACATTATCTTTTTTCATGATGTCCACAAGCTTACGGATCTGCTTTGGCATATCGCTGCAAAAAGAATGAACACAAGCAATTAATGGTTTTAATACTTTTCTCTATATATACTCAATTTGTATGGAAATATGTAAAGTATAACAAGCAAATAATTTTCAATGCATGCACCTAAGAAAATGTAGATAATTTTACATGTGCCTCATCTGCCAACCATGTTTTAAGTAGTGGTAGACTCTTGCCATGATTTGGGATGTCATTTAAGTGCTGCTCAATTACACGCAAATATTTATTTTGATTAAATTATTGTACTCTGTTGTATTTTATTGCTTTTATAATTTTGTTGACTCAAGTCACTCTCATAAATGAGACTATTCTGATCTCTTGAGTTCTCAAATGGTTATACAGCACGTATAACCTTAAACTCATCACGAGAGGGTTAATTACGTCACAGTGAGACCTCGCCAAGGAGAGGCCATGGTAAGGAGCTGCCTACTCTGCTTTTGCGCCCGGGACACCCTGGTTGAGGAAGGAGTCCGGGTGATTTTCATCGCCGATGCCCGTGGAGAAACCCATCAGGTTCTTGTTAAAGTGACGCAGGATGTCTTGGGAAGAGAGCAAATAAAACGACATCGATTACAGGGATAAAACTAGCAGTATTCTTTCTCAGAAAGGTATAATGGAAGAATTAATTTTCAACGCATAAACGAATACCATGAAAAGCGTTACATAAAAAAACCAATGTCAAAACTGAGCCATCGTGCTTACGTACTCGGAAGGGTTGTCACATTGGAAATGTCACCTTTTCCACCAACGCTGCGAACAAAATTACAATCACCGACATTGTTGCGTGCAAACATGTGTGCTTCAACGACAAATCGCGCCGAGTGTCGATGATCTGCGCGGGCGGTGCTGCTCATTGCTCATCGTCGTCACGTGGTGGTGCGTCGTGGGTGTGCGTCCTTGGTTTTGGAGATGACCCTGCCCTACCTCCAGGTGAGCCCCCGGTACTGAATGATCACCTCCAGCAAGTTGTCAGCCCCTGCCCCATTGCCAGCCTGGAAAACGCGCGCTCGGTTAGCGGCGCAAGAGCATTTTACATCCCTCCGTAAAAACGCATGTCGTGTTTTAACGGTGCACCTATGGGACTGAGTGATCGGATGACGTCATCACGCTTCAGAATCAGAATATTTATGCTGGAGGAATCCGATGAGCTGTAAAGCTTTTTTTCACAGATGTTCAGTTGGGGCGGGTCAAAACGTTACAACAACGAAAAATACCAAAATACTATAGGGAATGCAAAGTATAGGAAAGGTAAACAAATCACTGAATAAAAATATATACAAATAAAACTAAACTCGTTTTCATCTTACCAGGTAGAACCCACTGAGGTGTTAACTTGTTTTTTTTAGAAGCGACCTGACCACAAATGATAGCTCAGCAAAGTGGCTTGTTATTCACGATGAAAACAACTGTTCGCCCATCAGCTTCAGCCTACGGCAGTCGTACAAGGGGTGGACATGAAGCTTTCGTTTAAAGGGTGCAGCTTTGAACTCACCGTCAGAGAGTCTCCAACAGCCCCGATGACCTTGATGTCAGCCGGTCTGAGTTCGTGAACTGTGTGGCGAGGAAGGTTTTGTGAATTATTAAATGCAAATAGCTTCAAATGGAGCACATCTCGCTCGCTCCCTTTGCCAGCTGGTTGATTGTATATTCAAATCGGAAATCATTGGATACCCGCACGTGGCATTTGAAACGTTCCTCGTGTGTGGAATTTAGGTGGCATTTAGTAAGTGCTCTTAGTACCTGAACTCGGAACGCTTGCGGAAGGAGATGTATCCTTGCAAGTGATTTCACTTCCATAGTTTGGCTGAAAGTAAGAATTAAAACAATAGTACATTTAACATGTATGCGTTACTGCAATGCACGTTCACACATCCAGAATACTAAAAAGCCAACGTGTGTGTAAGCGATGGTTTGTGGGGGTATGCGGGGTGTGGGGGGGGGGGCACCTTGGGGGGTGAGGTGGGCTCAGGGGGGGGCGGGGGGATGGAAGGCACTGCGGGGTAACTGTAGTTGCTGTTCTTGTACGTTCGCAGGTATGGTTGTGCCTACAGGGTAGGGGGGGGGACAGGTTTGGGTCGAAATAGGAGAGTGTAACGTATTATGGCACGACATCTGGGTGCAAAGCAAATATACGTAGGCAAAACAAAAATATTTTTTGGTTTTTAAATCATCTTATTTCATTTAGCTCAATGTGCGCGTTACAAAAATACAGCTTTTTTCACGTGGAATTGTGTTGTGTAGTCGCATCGTACCACGCTGGGGCAATTAATCGTGATGTTGGCCGTGAAGTCTTGAAAAGTGCTTTTGCTTCCAACTGGTTCGAGCTGGAAGAGAGATTATGCACACACCGCTTTCACATAGGATACTTACCAATACATTAGAATCAGAGTTTCCCGGCGATGACCAGGGCAACCCGTGACACAGCCACAAGACTGCTGTCAGCAATGTTGTTTGTGCATTTCTCACACTTAAGAAAAAACTCACCATGCCGTTCCACAGTGCCTTGGCAGACATGGCGTGCGCCTTCTCTGAAAAGTGAAAGCAGTCCGGTGCAAAGTAGGTTTCGTCCGCAAGTCCTCCCTGAACAACAAGCAAGGGAGGTTCAAGGTGATCACTGTGTCGTGTGGCTGAATTATGTTTTATAATCACTGAACTATGCAATCAAGTTGCTGCTTCGGTAAACTTACAACGTAAACAGTTAACATTTCTCACAATTTCGATTTAAAGCTTTCGTGACTGCAGGGATTCATCTTCTTGGTTCTTTCGGCAAAGTCACGTAGAAGGGAAATAATAAAATAATAAAAATAAAATATAATAAAATAAAATTATCACGACGTTTCGGCCACAACACAAGCAGCCGTCCTCTGTTGTGAGAATTTTATTTTATTATGTTTTATTTTTATTATTTTATTATTTCCCTTCTACGTGACTTTACCGAAAGAACCAAGAAGATTTCTCACAATGTAGGGATTTATACGTTTCCTTAAGGACATGTGAGCCACATCGTTTGGGCTACGTGTCATTGAAGCGTGATTCCTTTCCAACCATCTTGCAGTGTTTAAAGTGGCACCGCTTTAAAGTGCATCTGCTTGCTGAAAGGCCTACCTCTGTGACTGGCATGGTGACGTCATGAAAGAACGGCTGCAGCACGACTGTGAAGTCCTCCGTTGTGTCGTAGCGCTTTGTAGCCACCAGCTGCTTGTTGTAATCCTGTTCACGGAAGAGATGGCACACACGAGGTCAAGCGAGGCATTTGGCAACACAGTGGTCGAGGTGACCGGGTGGCTCATTGGTCAGAGCACTGAGATGGTACTGCTATTTTCCTGGGTTCGAATCCAGACAGGAGCTTGTGATTAAAGTTAATTCTCAATGTGTACATAGTTGATGGTCTCAGCTTCGTCACCGATGACTGTGCAAAAAAACTCAATGAATGGACACTTGGTCCTGCACTTAATTTGGTTAAAATCCAGAATATATTTCTTTGACTCTCATGTGATGAAGATTCCTCCTACTTCTTGAAATGGATCTCAGATGTAGTTATTTGACGAAAGGTTGTTACTGGAGAGAGCACAACTGGGGAAAATGTTTATTGAAAGTTAAACAATATCCAACAAACGACAATGCCACGGCACTGGGTGAAATTTCGATTTTATTGTACATACATCTCTATTCATTCGTTATCTTTAGCAATTAAGGCCATGGAGATTTAGTTTTCGTTGAGTTTTGTAAATCCTTTGAACAACAAAAAACAATGCCTAGTTCATCATGTTCTTAGCTGGGAGTCTCTGAGGCCCTCTGGGAGAAATATGCATACCTGGTAAGCCCTGTTTGCTTTGGTCACCACTGCCAAGTCATCTGGGTTTGTGGGGTCCACGATGCATCCACACAGAATGCTGGGGAATTAAGAATGAAATGAAAAAAAAATATGAAAAAAATGAAGATGCTCTCTGTTAATCAGTGGCAACTGATGCAATGATTACTTATCACTCGTTAACAATTCTGAATATAAATATATTTCAATTAAATCGTTACAAAGCGCTTCTTTCATTAACATAAAGCATGTTGTGTTACATCCTATATTCGACGAGTGACCACTTTAAGATTAGAAGTAATTTTGACTTAAAACTTTCGTGACTGCAGGAATTCATATTCTATGGTTCTTTCGGTAAAGAAACATAGATAGAAAAAATAATAACAATAAAAGAATAAAAGAATAAAAGTAAAGTGCATAAAATATCACGACGTTTCGATCACAACACAAGCAGTCCTCATCTTGCCTCCTGATGAGGATCGCTTGTGTTGTGATCGAAACGCCATGATATTTTTTATTCACTTTATTATTCTATTGTTATTACTTTTTCTATCTACGTGACTTTACCGAAAGAACTATAGAATATTAGAAGTAATCATCACACATACTCTTTGGTTCTTTCGGCAATGTCACGTAGGTATAAAATAAATTAAATCACGACGTTTCGGGCGCAACACAAGCGTCCGTCATCAGGTGGGACAACCACAGTAAGAAACAACTGCTGACGTGGGCAAAATGGCTGCTGTAACAAGAGGCTATATAGGTAAGAGGAGGGAGGGGGGGACACCTCATGAGCTGTTTGGGACACTTGTTCTCGTCCTCGTGGAGTTTCCGAAGCGGCTCGATGTACAGAATCTCCACCAAGTTGACAAAGGCCCTGGGTACCTGAACGACCAGGGAAAGTGCACTCAAAGGGGATGTCTCTTTTTACGGAGTGTGGATGAAAAACACTGATGTCAATTTAAACTGTAATGATGAGTCCAGGTAAAGTGCATCGATACCTCTCTGTGGAGCATATCCAACGCAGTCTGTATGTAGTTAATGTAGCGTTCGGGCGAGTGCTTTATCTGGAGGGTGAATAACGAAGAGATCACAGTGGAGGGAATTAATATGGTTTGCAAGTAAACATGTACATAGTACCTTGAACTTGAGTTTAACGGCCTTTTTGTTGCCATGTCCCATACTCCCAATTTTGAACATCTTTAAAAAATGGGGGATGCAGTGTGGTGTTTTCAGGGCCATGGTGTATGTAGGGTCATCTTTGTGCAGGGTAATGGTGTGTTCAGGGCCATGTGTCTGCAAGGTCATGGTGTGTGTAGGGCCATGGTGTATGGAGGAGGGTCGTGGTGTGTGCAGGTCTATGGTGTATGTAGGGCCATGGTGTGTGCAGGGTCATCTTTGTGCAGGGTCATGGTGAATGGATAATGGTGTGTTCAGGGTCATGGGGTGTGTAGAGTAATGTGTGTACAGAATTGTTCGCACCTCATCTTCACAGTAGCTGCACACATCATTTGCTCCGATGAAGAGAGTGATGAGCTTCCAATCATTTTGAAAATCTATCTCCTGAAAGTGTTTACACATCCATGTATACATTAAATGTATTTTGCAAAACAAAATAGGAAATACATTAGTGTGAAAAACACATTTAAATATTTTTTCTTGTAAGGATATGTTTTTATGATCTTACCGGGGTAGTTTTCAATAATTCGATAAGTTTCTCGACTTGAGATGGGATATCCCTGTGGGTGGGCATTGGAAACAAGCACCACTCACTTTACATCAATCACCACAGTCATCATGATGTGAGAGCATTGGTTGCGTACTACCTGTTATGACATAGGGATCAAAAACAGGGATATCAATTAAGTAAATGGAACAATGGCTGAAAATTGTGGAAATAATCGTGGAGACGTACGCTTGGAATTACATCGCGAGATAGGAAGGGAAACACATGGTTAAGAGTACAAGTTAGAGACATTAAACTGACTTTTGCGAAAAATAAGTGGACTTGGGCAGAAGGTATCGTTTTCACAACAGAGTGGCAGGCAGAGGAAGCGAGGCGCCTTCCGACAAGGTGGAGCAAATTACTTCACATCAGGCGAATTCCATCGCATGATCGTGAGCGATGGCGACGCCTTTGGGGTGAGGCTTTTATCCAGCAGTGGATCGATGATGGCGGATGACGGTGCTTGGTAAGAGAGGGCTGGGCACGGTGAGTGAGCTGAGTGGAGAGGGAATGAATGCATAAGGGGTTTCTCTTACGCGGCGATGGCGCCCGGCACCGCCTGGTTGAGGAACCTCTGATCATTCCCAACGCCACTGGAGAAGCCCTTCAGGTTGGGGTTGAAGACGCGCAGGATATCTGAGGATGGACACACAGTTGTTCATCGCCGTTCATTCACTCGATTTACGGCGCTCGGATTTCATTGGAGTGCTTAACGTTTTTTCTTCTTCATATAATGACCGCACAATTGGTCACGTTTGCATTGCGGAGGAGTGAAATCTGCCCTTACTTGGGAGCGTAGTGACATTGTTGATGTCTTCATCACCTCCGATGCTGCAGGGAGGACAGAACAAAAACACACATTCAGCGAAGGTGCACAGCGTGGCTTTATTGAAATGGAACGGAAGCCAGGGTTAATGGTTTGCGGTGGCGATGTGCAGAGACCTCCACGCCAGGCCTCTGTATGTCTGTAGCACGTCCAGCACGTCTCCGGGCACCGAGCCCGCGCCGTTGGCAGCCTGGCAGACAACGCGTTACGTGCACATCACACGCATCACAACGACGTGTGAGTCACACGACCCACAGCTCACCCCTCCAGTCCCTGCCTGGCTTTTTCTTTTATATTTTGCAGGGACAAGTGTTGTTGCGAGCACCTACGATGGCCCGGCCCGGTCAGGACGGCCAGGATTCCGCAAGGACATAGCCCACTTGTCACCCAGGCAACCGGGGAGCACAGACAATAGAGGCATTTTTTGACATATCAACTCGAGCAACAATGAGAGCACCACACCTGGCCTTCCCAGTGTGCTGGTGTTTACACATTGTGTCAGTAATCATTTAATGGCGAGTTGAGCTGTGGGAGGCACGGTTTAGGTCCCGATAGTATTAGCCACCGATGGGTGCGGCACACGCGCCGCATGCTACTGTCTTGGACACACTAAACGTGGGGCAAAAACCTTTGTAGGTTTGGTATGAGAAGCACAAATTGATTAACCAGTTTGAAAGCACAGATACCACTGTTTTTAGAGGTTGATTCATAGTGACTGCTGACAAGTAAATGTGAATTATTGCTGTATAACCGTTTTTACGCTTTGTTATATTTCCTATTAGTAATTATATTATAAACTAAGTGTGCAGCATGCTAAATTATCCTTGTCAGCAGATTCATATGTGAGACATATCAATGATAATTATATATTATCATAATAAAATGTTGTTTTATTTCATATAGCATAATTTATGAATGCTGAGATAATTGCATTATATAGCACCAGTGGTTGTTTTATTGGGAGACCAGGTCCCACCATAGTCTTGTGGAATTTCCACAACTGGGCCCAAGGACACCAATGGAAGATGAACGCCATGCCAAGCTCATTTTGAGCGGAGGAGATTGCTGCCTCTCTAAAAAATGTAATAGCGCAATACGTTGGGGGTTCATATGCAAGGTGCAAATGCTTTCAGGTGTGATAAAAACAAAGGTGGCTCAGAGGCGTGTTCGAGGAGAAGTGTTGCCATCACTCGCAGCTCGTCCCATACCGTGAGTGAGTCGCCAAGAGCCGCCACCACTTTAATGTCGCCTGGGCGCAGGCTGTGCACTGCGGAAGGGAGGTGACCGACAGTTATTGTTCAACAGCTGCATTGACGCTTAATCTAATCTAATGGGCAATATTGCTGTTTTTATCAGAAACCATACCCCGCCCGGTTCAAATCTTATCTTTGTCACCTTGGCTAGAGGCTGAACTCCAAGGAATCGGAGTCGTAAACTGTTTGTGGTTCCGCTGATCAGACCATAATTAAATATTATATATTATTCCCGTCACAGATGTCAACGCTTAATAACGTGTAGTTCAATTCCATTTGAAACATGCACCTGACCAGCTATGGAAATATTTTACGTTTCTTCACTTTTATAAATAAACAGAACTCTCAGGAATAATTACGAATAATTGTTAACAGAAAACCTAATTATTGTTACGTAAGACCAGGGATGCCCACAACCTAAGCCCGCAGGCCAAATGCAGCCCACCAACTCATTGAATCCAACCCACGTGTTCACTCTGATCGATACAAACTAAAATGCCCACCATGTGTTGTTTTTATTGTACGATGGCTAATAGTTTGGTACCCCAGAAAAGTAGGGAACAGGCTCCAGAGGATATCTACCGTGGACAAGCCCTTGCGCAGGAGCTTGATGGAAGAGGGTCACATCACAAGACCACGAGGAATGGGAACGGCAAGGGGAGGCCTTCATCCAGCAGTGGATAGATTATAGTTGATGATGATGACTTATGTTACAACGAATGTGCGTAATAATAACGTGAAAAATATTGGCAAGTATGCAGGTTCTACAGTTTATGTATTGCCGTGAAGTGTAAATCATGGGGATTGTTTGGGTTCGTAAAGAGGACCGCCCAGCTGCCCAGGACTGCTTCAGATATTGCTTTCCACTGATATAGCAAATAGCTGGGAATTAAATTCAATTGGTTTTATTCATAATGCAATTGGCGAACCACTGCGCCACCGCTCCATACAAATCCATCAGTTGTGGTGGTGGGCAGCCGACAGTAGTGTAGCAAAACGAATCGTTGTACTGTACTTCTATGCTCTAGCGTCTATGCTCCCCGCCTTCACCAACCTGTCCTGACCATCGTGGTGAAGTATGGTCAAGTACCCCCCACAACCTACACGGAGTGAAGAGGCCCTCATTCGGCAGAGGATTGGCAAATGGCTGCACATTATACAACGAAAGTTGTACAATGTAATTGTTTATTATGTAGTATCTGTGGTTTCGTGGCTCTCGTGTTAGTGCAAAGAGTTTGGTCATCCCTGCGGCAGACGGTCATGTGTGTGTATGTGTGTTGAAGTTCTTTCGCACCGTACGTAGCCAACCGTTCTTATCGGGGGCGCGTCATAACGGGATACACGGCGTGTCTGCATATTGATGGTGAACTCGTGGTGTGTCGTCAAATTCACATACCTGATGTGGGAACGGTGTTCGAGGGGGCGGTATCCGTGCATGGGACGACACTCCCCCACACCTGCGAAATTGACAATCGTGGCATCAGTTTCAAGCAACCCACAGAGAAAGCGCAATCGTGATAAAAATAAGAATTATTTTTCAAAACTCTTTTTTGAAACACGCTTTAATGAAATGTACTAGTAATGGAAGAACTCCACGACTCCAGGAAGTGGCCCCCGAAGCTTGCCATAACGTAACGGACCGTGGTCAATTACAGCCAACGTCAGTTGACCGTGGACAATTAGACCTAAGCCGAAACTTAACATATAAAGAAGATTGTTACAATTTTATTTATTTATTTTTAATGCTAGAATATAGTATTGTCACCAGTATGACATAAGTATACCAAGTTTGCAGTCGATACCACATTGGGAAGTGGGTTAAAATTGAGTTACAAGATTTGAGGATACAACAACAACAGAGTGAGTTAAATAAAATCGTGTAATTCTTTGCTAGCTGTGCGCCGTATTGTCCCTTGAGAGTCAACTTGAGTGCCCCCCCACCCCTGCGACTCTGTGTGTGCCAAGTTCGGCCGTCCTTTGAGAACCGCACGTAACTGATAAGCGGGGTGGACGGACCTTGCATTTGAAGCGTCTCTTATCACCTCTCACGGCCAGGTGTGTGTACAAACAAAGACACACATTCACCCGAAAATCCACAAACAGACTGTTGGGGCAAGTGCTGCTAGCGATTAGCACCGACTAAGGCCGGCACGGCACATCGAGGCGGTGGGTGGCCACCACCCCGCGCGACCGCCTTTGTTTTCCCTAGTGGCGAAGTTTACACAGCACCAGGTACTGCACTCATTTGAGGCTGAGTCTACCTAGGGGAGACCTCCTCATGCCACTCCCCAACCCCCCTCCCACCCACCCGATTGATGTAGTTTAACACGTAGGATTTTTTTGGGTTAGATCGCGTTAATGATGTACTTATTCAATTTGAACTTATATACGTGTTTGTGTGACTTGTTTACCTTTCCTATACTTTGAACTTCTATCGTTTTTTACTGTTTGTTGTTGTAACTTTCTGGCACGCCCCTACTGGACATATGTGAAAAAGAGCTTCATAGCTCATCGGATTTCTCCAGGATAACAAAGAAAGATTCTCAAATAAAAAAAAGGTTCTGTACGTGCTGCGTGTGACCGAGGATTTGGGGTGTGGGTTGGGGGAATATCCACGCCGGGAGCCCAAGCTGATAAACCATTTCAAGTGAGGTAACAATACCCCAAACATCAACATGATCACAATGATAAAGTACTGTTTGTTTTTACGTCGTACGCGACAATTATAGTTTTCTCAGTAATCTGCTCAGGTGGTTTCAATTGCGTATTTAAAAACGCGATGTTTCGGTAACATGTTTAAGCAGAATAAAGCCGTAAAAAATGCGTTTCGGTAACATGTTTGAGCAGAATAAAGCCGTAAAAAATGCCGTTATTAAACTGCATTATGTGAAGAAAAAAAAAGTATTTCAATACAACACTGTATATGTCAACAATGATAATAAACTAGTCACCTGATTGTGTAAGTCAGCGTTTATTCAAAATGTTGCAGTGAAAAAGCAATAGCATCAACCTCGCACATAAAGGCCTTTACAACGCACGTTTTTATTTGTCCCTATTGCGTTCGAATGAAACCACATCTCAAGATGCTGCAACATTTTATTTCACGGAGAAAGAGGCAGAGGATAAAAAAAAATACATTGTAAAGGTCTTGAGCCTGGAGTTGAACAGGGGGCAGGGTGACAACAGCGTGGAGAAAGTCTCGTTTGCTGGAGTCGAGAGTTGTGTCGAGGGGAGTAAAAGTGAGATGAGAGGAGAGAGGAACACGGCAGGTGAAGTACTCCGGGAGGGGAGAGATGGGCAGGGAGGGTAAAGTCCACGGAGGGTGTTGAAGACGGTGAGCGCAATCTTACTAATTGACCTTGTCGGGGTGGTGGTGTGTTCACGACACTTTTATACTTACGCGACCTAAGCCAATTAACGTTATCATCATGATTATTGTGGATGGGGTGATGTATTCTCGCTTACAAATGCAGGTGGAAAGCCGGGCAGTGGCGTTTTGGATCACCTGGAGTTGCAGATGGAGGATTTTGGAATAATGCAGGGATCGAGAGTGGCAATATTTAGCTGGAGGAATTTAGGATTGATCCCAGATGAGATCACATCAAGGCAAGATGTGTGATTGGACAGGGAATTGAAATCGTGGAGTTAATGACAACATAGAGCTGGGTGTCATCAGTATATGAATGGTGATCAATATTAAAAACCGGAGATGATTTTGCCCAGAGGAAGGAGGTTGAGAGTATGAAGCTGATGATGAGGTGATGTACAACAGGGGCTTCTGATGGTAGGACAGCCCTTGAGGGGTAAGTGCGGAACGAGGAGTGAAGTGTGCTGTAAATCCCTACATTGTTATGGAGGTGATATTCAGGAGGATGGAATGGTCTGTGGTGTCCAAAGCAGCAGTAATATCTAGGAAAGTGATGCATGGTCTGAAGACAGAAGGTCATTTACCACTGAAATGACTTCGACATGGAATTCATCTATGAACTTAGGAATAGAAGATTAATTGCCCAAGTCTTCTACTGAAGTGAAACAAACACTGGTCATGAACAAGCTCGTCATGATGCTTAGGTGCACACAGGAAACACCACTATCATGAGTTGAATATCAAAGTTCGTGCTCTCGACTTACCCGTGGGTTCTTGGTGGGTTTGTTGTTGAGATCGTACCATTTTCCTGTGAACAAAACAAACAACTCCAGTTCAGTCGTTGTATCAATAAAACACAGAAAAATAATCTTACGGTGAAAACAATGTTACTTTATATATTTGTACCTGCTGAAAGCAATGCCTGCCCCAAAACGATAACTATGAGGGCGACAACGCCGCGCTGTGGGACGAGATGCATGGTTGGGTCCGCAGTGATTAATCCACTCGGTCGTCGCCTTTTAAAGCATTTCACAGACGGAGTTTATTCATGGCATGTAGAGTGGTGCGCAAGCCATAGGCTGACATATCGCAGGTAGATTTAACAGCCTCCCCACCACACCTGCTTTTACTATCTAATTGATCCATAAAGCTAGCCACAGTCCTAATCTATATAGTGCAAGTGTGTAAAAGAGCTGAAGATAAGCCGTGTCCATCAACACCTTTATTGTCTGAATTGTCAGGTCATGAACTAGTAAAAATCCTGAGTGTGCAATATTCGTATAGGTTTGAACACTGCCATTTTTATTTTAAAGGCATTCTGTTATTCGTATGTGTGTAAAAGATATGATATTAGAACAACAAAGGTGTTGGAATAATTACTACTCTGGATTATTTAGGAATTAAAGAGAGGCAAAATGGTTGCCTGTGCAGGTGTGGCAAAATGGGTGGTCAAGAGATTGGACTTGTTTGCTTGCAAGTCCAAAGTTACTGGTTTATCTTTGAACATGACCTTCTGGTAAAGCGCAAATGAGCTGAATAGGATATTTCCGTTGGTCTTTGTCTACGTTGTTTTATGTTTTAGAACAAATATCGTCACGGCTTGTCACACCACATACGGAATGCAGCTCTATGAATGCCCATCATGTTGGGAAATATTACAAGTTCACATAACTGCTGTGGCACTGTGAACTTCACTACCGTCACACGAAGTATAAACCGTCAGCAAAGCAGCAGCAGTTGGCAGGAGCAGCTTGAGGTGTTGAAGAGACTACGTGCTGGAAGTATAGTCACACGCGGGAAACTACAGAAAATGAGCCACCATCAGAAATCACATCCCTGCACAATCACTTAACCTATATCACGGGACCTCCCTTGCCAGTATCAAAATATAAGAATAAGTTTGACCCTTTCTGGCAATAAAATAGGTGTTAAACATCTATAATAGAGGTTTTCTTTGGGCTATATCGCGTAACTATATAAATGTGTTGTTAAAACCCGCCACCACCCGACACAGCCAACTAGTAAGGGTTATCACGTAAACAGAACGTGCCAATTCGTCACTATTACAGCACGTCGGTGTGTTGGAGAGCCAAGCCACAACATTAACAATCTGAGTACGACGTTTCGCCAGTAATTACAATTAACTTCATTAGGCGACAGCCAGATTTGTGGAGAAGTCTAACTGTTTCGTTCCTTATAAAGAGGCGTAGATGTGGTGACCACACTTCTGCGCTCTTGTGCAAAGTGGGGGGGGAGGGGGGGGGGGGATTAATGAGTCAACGTACATTATGCATGTGCATTATGCAATACATAATGAAACAAATACAGCCCTACATCGGTAGGACCTCTTCGTTCATCAAAAACTCTGAATATCTCGTAAACATAATTAGAGATATTAAGCTTAACCCTAATTATATTCTCGTATGTTTTGATGTGACTTCTCTGTTCACGGAGGTTCCGGTCAACGAGTCAATTAAATTACTCGACACTCTGGTAACAAACAAAGGTTTAGCCAAATATATCCCAAGACAAGCTGAACACTGTCTAAATAACACCTACTTCTTGTCTCCTGTGATAGCGAATTTGTACATGTGGAGTGTATTCCATAATTACTCACACCAACATGTTGTAACAAGTCACCTGCTTACACTTTATTCACATATTGTTGCACCAGTTGTAGGCACTCCTATAACTATCGACACGGTCACTTGTGTTTAACTTCTCCCCACTCTTATCTACCTTTCACCTCGCTTATCTTGCACTCAACAGCTCTGCTCTCAGCGACTTCGCACGCAGCGTCTCCGCACGCAGCGTCTCCGCACGCAGCGTCTCCGCACGCAGCGTCTTGGCAATCAGCAACTCTACATCTCCACCGCTGCCCTCACCTACGCTCCCCCAGACCCGCTCACCCGTCTGTCCCAGGCGGGGGGATCAGCCAACACCCGCCCGGCGACGGCGTGAGGGTTGAGGTCCCGTTGACGGCTCGAGCGGCAGCGGCGAGATGTCTTCACTCTTGTCCCCGGCAACAACTCCCTCTTAACTATGCGCACCGCGTATTTCACTCCTCTACACATGTTTAGTGACGTATATTGGGTCACTACGGTGTTTAGGGCCAGATAGTGAGACAAGAGTGCAACTGTGCGTGTTAGAGCCTATCTCTGGCACCAGAGTATGTATGGCATGGAAGGGGGCCCTAGGGGGCATGGTTCTGGTGACTGTCAGAGAGGGGGCAGTTGAGGACGTGACATTGTGGATGAACCTGAGAGGGCACGTGACCAGGACAGGAAAATGAGGGGGCCAAAAGGTGGCGAGAGGGACACGTGATGTATAGCCCAGAACCTTCTAGTAGGATCTAGAAGGGGGCGTGGCCGAGGGCGGAGCTGGGCCACGCTCAGGGGCATAAAAGGGAGGTCACGAGAACCAATCGAGGCTGTCTGTTGGAATAGAACCCGTCGGTGTTACGTCTCTTCGATCCTCAGTCCTCGGTCTTTGGTCTTCAGTCCTTATGCTAGGCATCATGGGTCAGGCAGTATGTTATTGACTGACCCGGTTATGTAGTTACCCCGTTGTGGTCTAGTTACCCATTGTGGTCTAGTTAACCCATTGTGGTTTATGTAGTTTCCCTATTGGGGTCGTGTAATAAACGTTTTGCCTCCAAGTTCAAGTGTGTGCCTCCGTAGAACCCACTACACATGTGTAATGACAGGGTGCCACCTGTTGGCCTGGAAGGATAATCACGGGTATGGGCAAGGTTATGTAACAACTAATCAGAAGGGGGGCGTATCTGGGTTAAAGGTAAAAGATGGGGTTAGTCGAGAAGCTCCGGGAATCTGCTCGAAGGTTCTGGAAGGGGACGTGGCCAGAGGCGGTGCCTAGCCATGCCGAGAGGTATATAAGGGGGATGGAACCGAGGGTTCAGGATTGTTGCGGGGTCCCAGGTCCTGGCTGCGTCGCTGCTCTCTCCATCGTCCGGCCGCATGGAAGATCCTCTGCACAGCTCCCATCGCCGTCATCGTCACACTAGTCAGTCAGCGGTGTGGTTGGATGTAGGCGATGGGACTATGCAGAGAGGTCGGCTGTGCATAGCTAAAGTAGAGACGTATATATATATATTACCCAGTGTTGTGCCCAGTGAGAGGAGACATGTATATGTATCGGCCTGAGTTGTGCCCAGTGTGAGAATAAATAAGAAGAAGCCCTCTACACGACGTGTCTCGGAAGTCGCTCATTACATTTGGAGTCTTTCTGGTGGGATCGTCCGCGAGCGCGACGGCCGCCATTACACGTGGCACGAAGAACATGCAGCCGGAGGCCACCATTATGCATGGCGCAGGAGAGGCGTGACCAGGAGTGAATCATCAAATAATATATTATATAAATGCATACCTACAAAGGGCAGCGTACTTCAATAGGGATTACCGTTGGTAGGGCTATTTTAATAAACACAATAGACAGGAAGAACAAGTTCAAAGGGCTCGCATAATGCACATGCATAATGTACGTTGCCTCAGTAATCCCCCCCCCCCCCCCCCACATTGTGCAAGTGTGCAAAAGGGTGGTCAACACATCTATGCCTCTATATAAGGAACGAAACAGTTAGACTTCTCCACAAATCTGGCTGTCGCCTGATGAAGTTAGTTGTAATTACTGGCAAAACGTCGTACTCAGATTGTAAATGTTGTGGCTTGGCTCTCCAACATTGGCATGTTCTGTTTACGTGACAACCCTTACTAGTTGGCTGTGTCGGGTGGTGGCGAGTTTAAATGACACATTTATATATTTACGTGATCTAACCCCAAAAAACCCTCTATTAAGGTGTTAAGATGTTAAAACACCAAAATGAAACCTTTCGCAAGGAATCGTGTCTGCATTAACCAATAGTGTGGACCAATCGGTTTCAAAGACAATGCAAATACTACCATATGTGGCTCATGCATACATGATTCCTTGCAAAAGGTTTCAGTTTCGTATTTTAACATCTTAACACCTGTTCTATTGCCAGAAAGGGTAAAACCTATTCTTACACATAACCTATCCCTGTGCCATCATAAAAACAATCCCTGTGTAGAGGTGATACGCGCTGGGATTAAGGATCGTAGGCACAGTGCGTGATGATTGGCTGTGTAGGTGGCGACGCGCGCTGACGGTGGAGGATCAGGGGTCAGCGCGGGGTCGTGGGTTACGGGGTACCGATTGGCTGTGGGCGGTGACGCGCTGAGAGGGAGTGATCAGGTGGCAGCGCAGTGTGATTGGTGGAGTAATGTTAACACGCGCTGGGGAAAGCGGATCGTAGAGAGAGTGCGTCGTGATTGGGTCATTAAGGAACGACGCTCACGTCGACGCCGCATCAGCTCCGTCCCTCGTGAGCAGGGGCTATAAAAGGGGATGCACACAGGCGTAAGGGCAGTGTGTAACCAGCGAAGAAGGAAGACGGGGATGAAGACCTAGAGCCCTGCGGTACCTAGCCCCGCTGTCCTAAGGGGACCGGGACTCTGTGTAACCCAGAGGCGAGTGTAGTGGGTGTAGCCATAGGTCTACACGAGCCGAATGTACTATGTGTAGCCAGGGCATAGGGCTTACACGAGTCGAGTGTATTGTGTAGCCAGAGGCATAGGGCTTACACGAGTCGAGTATATTGTGTGTAGCCAGAGGCATAGGGTCTACACGAGTCAAGTGTATCGGGTGTAGCCAGAGGCCTAGAGCTTACACGAGATTAGTGGAGTGTGTCGGAGGAAGAAGAGAGACCACACGTTGTAATTGTGATACCTAAAGGATTTAATAAAAGTGTGTTACCCGTCAAGAAGTTCCTGCCGTCAATTCCCATACTTCAACTGGCGTCAGAAGTGAAACGGTCTTCCAAGCATGGATACAAGGGGGAGCCGTCGGACCCACGGGATTGACCACGGGGACAACCTCGACGACGCGGGCCAGCTGGCATCGGGGGGTGAGGAAGAGGAGTTGCCCACGGGGCAGGATCCGCCGACGGCGCCGGACGAGCGACGGGGGACTGACGCCGTGCTTCGCGAAGCGCTCTCCCGTCTGGCGGAGCTGCT